TATCGGGCGAAGGGATCGCTCTTGTGTGTATAGTCCAGTACAAATCCGATTACATTTCTAACTAATCGAGGGCTGTATTACCGTCTGAGGCAGATTCTTGTGGGTTGCCTCCATAAAAGAATAAGACTTCCACAAGTCTGACCGTGGCTTGGGACAATGGTTGTGGCGCTTCTGCGATGCAAAAGTAGACCGTTGGCGCTCCCCGAACGCAGGTACGTGACTCTGAATGGGCAAGAGCTTCAACTTGCCTTAATCCATAGAGCATGCCGACGGTGTATCAATATTGCATTTGCAGTTTAAGCTTTTGCAATGCGGGCACCATAGTCGAAGAGAATATGTAGAGAACTAGCGTCGATGAGAGGTTTGTTCGCATCTCAGGGAACTACAGAATCGCATTGGCCTTTTTGATGTCTTCGCCGATGCTGACTGCTGTGATTCATGGCACTGCCCCGTGAAAAGGTAGAGTTAATCGTGCCATACCCAAGTTATCGTTCGTCAATGGAACTATACGCTAGGTTGTATTTCATAACCGACTTCGCGAATCCATCGCGAATATCGTGAGGAACGTCTACGTCGACAGGAGCTTCCTTGATGAGAACTTCGCCAATCAAGTGAGTATTTCCGTTTGTGCAAGCCAAGAGGAGCTTGATTCTGTAATTTAACGCGTTGTACTTATGAAGCTCGTGGAGGACAATCTTGCAGATGCTTCTTCATGTCGGAAAAATCTTGAATTGGTCCTTCTCTCTTAGACGCCCGACGAGTAGCATGAGAAGTTCTGAAGGAATTGACTCCTAGGGCCTCAGGCGCACCTGCACTATTTGTGCATGATTTGTCATTCTGGCAGAGTTTTTGGCCAGCTATCAGTAGGCGATGAGCTCTAGTTGGACATAGTAATTCGACGAATAAACATGTGCAGGCTAGCTTAGGCAATCGCATAAAATCAGCCCTAGGCAATGATATTATTGGCATGGTAAAAAAGAACATCATGAATAGCACCTGGCTATTTAGTCCATAAGACATAAATGATGCTGCATGAAAAGTCCAGTCTTGGATTTTTGGTTTGATATGTCAAGCTCAGGAGATGAACATTCTATGCTGTAGAGAGTATAACGTAATAATGAATTGCTTTTCAATGTTTCTAGCCAAGTATAAAGTAATAGATGTTTTCTCTTGCTATTGTTTGAACTCAGACCTTGAAATCTCATTATTGATCGTTTTTTATACTGGAAGTTCCAGTGTGCTTTATTTTAATACTCTTTTTAAGCAGAGCTCTCCGTCTTACCTTGCTGACATTCGTCCTCTGACCCACTGAATTCCCAAGCTCTGACACCATCTGTGCCCCCATTGATGATGGCCTTGTCTCAAAAAGAAGTCCAACGTAGCAAGACCATGTTTCACGATACCGTCTTCAGAAAGCGCACTTTTCTTGAGACCTCGCTCTAAATGATCTCTGCCGTCAGATGATACCCACTTCCATAAGGCCGGATTGGCCTGTTTCGTCCTGTCTAACTCAGCCCTGATGGCGGCAATAACTTTATCTTCACTGTCTGCCTGATTTGTCTGATTGCCATCTCGATCTCTAAATATGACCTATGGATAGATAATGTGCAGATTTTATATGCAATATCTAGGCTCATAGATGCCCGGCGAGCTTTATTGACAACGAGTCCCAGAATTTGGCCTTGTATTTATACTTTGGGGCTTCAGCCATGATCATGAATTTGAAGGGAAATTGCTCAGGGAAAACCAATGCCAATATGAAAAACTCAACTGAGGATGAAGATGCTGAATGTAGGGAATCTAGGAAATCGTACAGATCCTCATTTCGCTCCGCCCTATTAGAATGAAAGTCAATCAGATCCTGACGAAACCCTTTGGTTGTGTCGATCGAATTCGTTGGTTATATGGGATTATTTTGAGGTAACCACTGCCTGCTAGTTCGTTTGACATGTGTGGCAACACAAAATGAGCCATGAATGAAAGACAGCTCTTGTGGGTGTGCTCCCGGTCTTTTATGAGCATCTAGTCACAAGATGTCTTTCGTTTATTTCCGGTGCCACTGGATTTGTTTACTTGTTTGTACACTTATCAAATAGACAAAAACAACGCGACATTTCCCTTTATTTGAATCCGCATGCGGTTTATTGATTCCTCGTGTCACTTGTACAAGCGGAATCGAATAGCTCATAATCAATTTGGAAGCAGGTGTCTATCTATTTGGTCGAGAACAGATGTTCAATCCGTAGAAAGGCTCGATTTATTTCCAATTGAATCGACGAGTAATGACACCTAAGATGTGCTTATAAGTAAAGACGACAGCAAGTCAGAGGCATTATAATAGAAGTAAGGCTCGAACTAAAGGCTCAAAGCCTCCGACTTATCATGAGTTGTGCTCTTGGCTTCTAGTCTAAGAAAACGAAACTTGCGCCAAGTGATGTGGGTGTTTTACCGTAAGCTTCGTATTAAGCATAACCTTAGCATAGGGTTGTCCCTGCTGTTTAGCGTCTGGGACTGGGCAGTATCCCCCATCTGCATCTCGGTGTTTCAGGGGTATTCAACACTCTATGGACAGCATAAGTAGATTGATGTAGGTCTGGCTGATGTTGACTCTGGGTTTGATGCATCTTTTGTCGTGATCCTCCCGGTAATAATGTGCCAACCCTATGAGCACGTGCTCCTATTCAGTCATGACACCTGGATCACTATTGTAAGGTCAAGGGTACCATCCTAGCCTATACACATACTCCGCAGCAGAGATGGAGTCACGAGACACTACCACCAGAGACTTTTGGTATGCCACATTTTTAGATTTTTCTGAAACGTGACATAGCATGCATAGGATTGTTGTTGTTAGACATGTGACCAGAAAGTCATATATAAGCGGTAGTTAACATTTTTAACCAGCTAGTTATTACCGTCCAACAAACAATGTGGATTTTGTCCTTCTGAATTTGGTTCAAGTGACACTTTTTTCATCATGCACGGCCAAAACATTTGCATGGTCTTGACGCTCGCTGTCATCCTTCGTTCGCTTGCAGGACCGATGGAATTCAAACTGGGAGAGGAAGACAGGTAGCCGGCAAAGCTTGCAATACGGACCCCCTGGCCGCCAATACGTGGCCAAGCCTCAATATCGGCACATATCTCAAAGATTGGACGGCAGCCAATTGGACGGCGGCCACGACGAATAACATTACATTATTGGCTGATTCATTCAACGCCCCAATATTCTTCTGGTTTGTATTATATTTCGTGCCACTCGAGTTTCCTAGATGAATACCTGTAGTGGTTTGGACAGCTTCTGTAACGCTGCACAGCCCTGCCTCCCAGTCGACCTACCAGTGTGGTATGTGAATTACCCTTCTTCCTATAACCTTGAGACTGTCTAGTCCCTCAGTACGCCTTATTAGCCATCCAAAACCGGAAAAGCTACTTGAACTCGTTGAATACGGCCGTCATTTTTCGGCTCGAGCATCCTAGGCCTATTCCTTCTGGGCGTCGTCACCAACCTCTACTTCGGCCCCAAAGACGACACATTAGACATGAAAACGATTTTAGCGTCTCCGGCACCATCCTGTCTCGTTACCTTCTCGGGCCCCGACTTGACCGCTAGCAGCGCTGTATCGAGGAGGCAGTGGGAGAGAGGGGCTCAGCTTCACCGCGAAGATCGTCAACCCCTCCGCGACGGTCAACATGATCGTAACTTGTAGGGTGTCTCGAACATGCTGACAAAGGTCTTCACCGAGGACCAGGCCGCTGTCACGGATTCCATCCAGACGACCATCGACGCACCGGTCAATGATGGCAGCTTCAAGGTGTATTCCATGGTTCGGGATACCGACGGTTCTGTGCCCAAGAACTAGATTGCAGGTACTCTGATTAACAAACATGGCTTCACTAAGTAGCATTGGTTGATCCGGTGACGTGCTTTGAAACCAATGCGAGTTAGCAGCTGGATAACGCATTTGCGGAATGGGCACCGCTGGATGCGAACGTGCCTTGTTTGTTTCATGTTAATGTGCAGGTTCCTGGGGTGTCAGGGACATGATCTCACACCACCTTAGAAGGGTGAAACGTTGAGCGTTTTTCCTTCGAAACCTGGGCCGTGATGGCGTTTACATCCGCGGAAAGGGAATTGGGTATTTGGACAACACGTCGGCTCAAGTAGAGGTAACGCTAGGAATAAATCCCGTTATGTTTATTCGAATAACATGTGGCCTTCGCAATGCTGCGAGTTCTCCGTAGCACAAAAGCTTCTATTGAAAAGCCTCCCCACAATCTGATGACAAGCCCCCACCCTCTCAAATAACCCCCTAAAGATTATATCGTAGCACCGTCGTTATAGCCCCGATCCAGCATCCAGTACCCCAGTTCAAAGAAGAAGACCAGTGGAATCGCCACGAAGAAGTACATCCAAGCGACGTAAGTCCAGGCTTAGAAGGTTCCAACATGCTGAATACTGCGCAAGCCTAAGCCAACCGTTGTTAAGTGAACCAATCTGTTAGCGTAGGCCACAAAAGCGGAGAAGCAGGAACTGAAAATTGACTACTGTGCTGTCTGACCAATGACGGATAATAGTTGCACTGTTAGGCCTTAATTAGTCTGATAATAGTAACAGCAGATCAGGCATGACCCCTCAAGATCGCGGTAGTACTCTAGCGCCCGCCTCCCCCATAGCTTCACGTTGCTCTACTCCCGCTCTACCTCGGCCACGGATAAGCCCTGTACGCCCCACTGCCGGGAGAGCTGCCACTGGAGTGATGAGAAGGTTGCGCCGGTGAATCTCATGGTTGCCCAGTAGTGAGTTGCCACGAACTGCGGGCGAATATTCTCACTGGTTCTGCGCCCTGCGCGTCACTAGATAGGAGGCGCGAATGATTCGGTATGTAGAATGCTATGTCATCACCTATGGAGATTCTGAGGGAAACCTTGTCGACGGCTAGTTGGTCAATTTAGGGGATAACGTTAAGATAGCCGCCTTGGTATGGGGATGTGGTAGCTTACAGGGGACCGATGGGCTTCTTGGTGCGGATTGTGATGATAAGGGGGTCGTACAGCACTACGCCTGCATCTTTTGCTAGCGGGTTTGTTTGTCTTACCTGGAAAATATATGCGCAATCCCAATCCTTTGTTACTCTTCTCTCTCCACCAAATAGAACATTTACTGCACGCCATACCGACAGAGAGAAACCCTCCCCGGAGCCGCGGGGGCCCTGTATGGCGTCCGGTTCTGTTGCGGCACATGCGAAATTCCAATACCGCATGTCAACGAAACACGGCTCAAAGCACCTCAATGTGAAGTGAGCAAGATGGCTTAGGAAACCGGAAAGAAGCACCGCATCGCTTTGCCTAAAAGGCCGGTTGTTGGGGATACTAACTCGTTCAAGTTCCACAAAGGATGCTGGATGGATCCCGATGTGCGATCCAAGCATTTTGACCGTTTCTGGACTTAGTCCCTCGACTAGACATACCATTTGCTGATCATCCTGGGGACTTGGTAGTGGTATTGCCATGTTTTAACTAGCAGGCGTCGGAGACATTTGCTACTGCTGTAAAATCCCCATTGAGTGTCGATGGAGAAAATGAAAGCCAGAGCGACAAGACCGCAGGTTATGCACACCAGGGATGTATCTGCCTAACGAGGCGCATTTGAGAAATGTTGACATTATTATATACTTCGATCTACAATGAACTTCAATGAATATATATACTCATGTTGACATCATCGGCACATAAGCGTAGAGGTAGGCCCTCGTGTGAGCCCCACATCTGATACTTCAAGGATAAATTAAATCCCGTCAAGCTACCGAGCAAACGACAGCAACGAGGCAATTCAAGTCAATAATGCAGTTCAAATACGGATTGTAAGCATCGCAGTATAATTGATAATCACGGGTATTCATCATCTCAGCAAACCACCTATCACTCATGTCCTCGTCAGTAAACACCAAGCTTCTGCATATGTACCGTGCACACCCCGATATTTACAGCACCCTCCCTTGCTTGAACCTTATTCTTACAGCTTCACCCTCCCGCCATTCAAGCTGTCCCAATCCCTAGGTCCGAATTTCACGTACGTATCTCCCTTCAACCAGTATATATCATCATTTCCAATCTTGGCGGGGTCCACCCCCTGAGCCCTGAGCTGATGCTTTTGTTGCTTATTTGTCCCCGTCGTCTGGGTGCTCATATCCTTGACAACCCGCAAGAAGATCGGCACCGCGTACTTAGGCAGGGCCTTTTTCGCATGCTCCGCGATGCTCTGCATGACCTTCTCATCGGGCTCCACCTGCAATGCGAGCGCAGCACAACCAGCCCGCCCGTCGTGATTGGGCAGTTCCACACCGTACACGTTCGCTTCCTGGACGGAAGGATGCATACCTATCGTCTGTGAGACTTCGGTTGTGGCCACATTTTCGCTCTTCCAGCGGAACGTGTCACCAATGCGATCGTGGAAGTACATGCGGCCCTCGTTGTCCCAGCTCACCAAGTCACCAGAGCGGAAATAGCCGTCGCCCTTTCTCAGCAAGTCACGCACGATTTTGCTATTTGTTGCCTCCTTATTGTTGTAGTATCCCTGGAAGTCTTTGTCCATGTCGTCAGGGAGCATAAACATCAGTTCGCCAACTTGGCCACGTGGTACTTGGCGGCCAAGCCCTGTCTTGGGATCACGTATGGGCTTGTCCGTGTCATGATCAACATCTATGATGGCCATGCGCTGCTTCATCAGTATGGCATACAGCCAGCCATTGCGGCCGATGGCTCCGATAGTGTGGTCGTTCTTTGACGTGTTCCAAGTCGCGAGGAATCCTTCTGTTGCGCCGTAGAATTCGGAAATATTTTCGATGCCAAACCGTTCGCGGAATCTCTCCCAAACATCGGGTCGCAGGCCGTTACCAAAGGCCAAGCGGATATTGTGCTTTTTGTCCAAGTTTTCACCGGTGGCGGGATCAATTTGGGGTGGCGCAGCGAGCAGGTATCGACATGTCTCGCCGACGTATTGAATTTGGGTCGCTTTGAACGCCCGGGCTTCCTTCCAGAATGTTTTGGTGGAGAATTTCCTACCAATGGCGAAAGTAGAGCCCGATTCGAGGACGTGTGATAACCCCATGACAGTAGCTGAACTGTGGTATATCGGCATGCACTGTTTGCTTGGTCAATTTTGCCCCCTGGCGCTGTTATACTTGCTGGACTCACTGTGTAGAAGATATCTGACGGTTTTGTTCCTAGCCAGCCCCCTACAAATGTGCCAGCCAATGTCAACTTGCTCCATGATACAATGGCGGCCTTTGGTAAACCGGTTGTGCCCGATGTATAGATGAGGACGGCCATATCTCTACCCAAGTCACCACTCCGATCCGAGTCTGGTGCGCGTACCGGATCGGTCGAGAGAATTTCCGCAATAAGATCAGCTGTCAGAATATCGATTTGGAGATCGCCTAGTGTTGCGCGAGTACTGTCGTCGACGTTGTGCTGTACCTGGGGGTCGACCAACATAAGCACGGCTTTGGCGGCTTCTATGCAGTGCGTTAATGCCTTCCCGGTAAGGTTGTAATTGATAAAGGCGGGCTTGACGCCAATGGACCACAGCCCAAAGCAGAGCAGGACAAAATGATCCGAGTTCATCATGTCTATGGCTACGACGTCGCCCTTTTTCAAGTTATACCTCCTCTTCAGCCAATTGCCGTATCTCAGTGCTGTGTCGTACGATTGCGCATAGGTCCAAGTGTTATCTTCGTACATGAGGAAGATCCTGTCGGCCGACGCACCACTCTTCGCCCTCGTCTCGAGCTTGTAGAAGGCATTGGCCTTGTCGATATACTCGCGCCATTTGTTCGTTGCAAAAGCTGGGACGACGCCTCGGAATAAGGTCCAGTCATACCAGAAGGCCGACTTCGCATTCAAGTACGCGAGGCCAGCCGCCGCCGCAGGCAGGGCGAGAGTGAGAGGTACTGTGAAGAGCGACATGAGTCAATTAGCGTTACTCTTCCAATACAGACGGCACAATGTGCTGAAGTCAGGACCCGGCAGGCGGGCCATGAGTACATACCGGGCATGCTGCGTTATCAGTGGTGTCGAAAATCAATATGCGCCACAAAACATTTTCGACCAGTGCCAAGTGAGCAAGGAAAATGTAAGGATTCAGCGGAAGCGCGACAAGTACAGAGCCACAATGGATGCGATATAAAATAAAAAAGATTACCTCCTTCCACCTACTAAGCTGGACATAGCACGATGTCGCTGACTCGCAACCACGAGCAGGGGCAGGTTCGCAGCGCAGGACCGAGGTGAAGTTACTCGCCCCAACATGACGATGATGGGTGGGCCTGCTCCCAAATACGCGGTCCCTGCAGTCCCCATGTATCGGCGATCAGCATGAATGGCATGGCAGCATAGCGGCAGTGGAGTTGGGCCAAGAGGTGGGTGCCCTGGTGTCGAGTACAGGTAGTGGTCCGGCATGATCACAACGTTGGGCTATTCGCTGCGTGATGGTGCCACATCGCGAATGCGAATGAGATGGCGTATCAAAAGGCGATGGGACGACAACGACCATGTGATGCCAGGTTGCTAGGCTTGTTCCGCTTGGGAAAACATTTGTCTGGATTGCCAGAGATGCCGAGGAACAAGATGCAATCGGGAATGTGCAGTCGGGAATGTGTGTGCTGTTTTATTGGCCCCTCCTATCCTCGTCTCCTTACCAGACCATGCAGACACTGCAGTAAATTGAAGATAAGGTAGGAGTTGGGCGGGCCGCCGTTCGATATTAGATGGAGCTGAGAAGTCTCCGTAGATTCCGTGCCTCGGCTCGCAGCAGCGACGGCAGGCAGGGATGCATTGTCTGGCCATTAGAATTGCGGATCAAAGCAAGCGAGCCCATGTGGAAACAGCCCGAAGCCGACCACCCGACAGTTTGCACAAGGCAAACTGCAATTGCCAGTCATCTGGGTATGAACTGTCGGCGCGGGTACTGGCTGAAAAGGCATATATCTCTCCGTGCATAAAATCCAATGAAGGAGAACAGGAGCAAGGATTACAGCTTGAGCGCAAACCTCAATCACCATATGGAATGTGGTGGGCGCGCTCTCTCCGTGTGGAAGTCACCTTGCACTTGGTATAATTTGAGAAACCTTGACATGTCAAGCAGCATTCTATGAACACATGCACCAAACATGGGCGAGGTGACTTGCTTGAGAACTTTCCAATGCTATTTGAAGCTGGCCATGTTTGGGCGGAAGTTGCGGGTGCAGGGATATCGCTGTCATCGCTGTCAACAGTCGATCCCACAATTTGGAATTCTACAGCAGCACCTTATCGTCACGTGCAGCTAATCAACAGCGACTTGGAAAGTTGGCCTTCATAGAACAGAGCACTGATTCAGGGTAATCCTGTCTCTTATCAAGTTCGCCATGTCCACCGCAGTCGAGAATGGTGGCACTGCGGACTTGACGTCCAGGAAGACCGCCTCATTAATCAACGAAACTGCCGACAGCTCGTTGCCAGCAGCGGCAGCAACAGGACCAAAGGAGCCCCCCCCTGAGAAGCCTGCAGACACGCGCAGACGAACATGGGTCATTTTCTCATTCTGGGCCATCGTGCTGGCTTTGGGATTGCCGATATGGTGGAAGACCACTTCGATTTACAGGGCGGAATTGCCCCTCAGCGAAATGCTGGATTGGGCTGATGGCAAGGTACTTCCAAGCCACTTTCAAGTATTCAGCGACTCGATGCATTTTGGTATAATGTGCTAACGTACGTCACTATGGTAGGCTTGTCGACCTGCCTTCCCATTACGCATCGCGTTGGACGCCAGTCCCCTACAAGAGCATGAGGCTCAGAATCTCCTTCGCCTGACCCAACATGCCCTTGATGATCTGAACGACTTCTCGGGCCACCATCTGCGACTCCAGCTCGCCGCTAACGCCGACCCCACCAAGACCGCAAAGACAGGCTCAGACGTCGCGTTGACCATACGAATTACTCCTGGAGATTCCATTCATAGCGCCTCGTCGTCGCTGCATCCTCACTTACCAATCCTAGACGTTGCTTATCCACCCAATTCGATACCTACGCAGACATCCTCGTCGTCTGGTCTTGCAACGTACCTCGCCGCGCAGCTTCGATCGACCTTTGCTGAGGAACAGAACGTGATATCATATTTGTTGGAAACTTCGTCGATTCCCTCGGAACATCGACCAAAGGGGATCTCCCCAGAGGTGGCGGAAACTCTATCGAAACAGATGACACGGTCGATGAAATACTCAAGGACGTACCATTTGACGTTCTCCCTTTTCACCAATGGCCCTGAGCCAAGCAGTTGGGATATTGAGTCCGCCATCGATGAGTACATGAGGCCAATGTTGGACATGCTGAGTCCGATACATAACTTCACCATTGATACCCAGGTCCAGCTGTATGCTACGCCCGGGGTCCAATCTCAAGTGCTAAGCAAGGAAGATTTATCGTCCTTTATCAATGCAGCTGAGTGGCCGCTGTCGCCGTCAATCGGCGGAGCACCGACAGTCAACTTTGTAGTGTACATAGGGAACCAGACCATTGGCGCGGTCTCGGAATCGGAAGCAGCAGATATCTCCCGATCGTGGCTGATCCCGCAATGGGGTAGTGTCTATCTTCTCTTGCCCCCATCCGGCCCCCACGTTTCATCAGAGACCTTAAAGCAGACAGTCTTGACCTTCACGTCCCACCTACTTTCCCTCCTCGGTACCCCGCAGTCCGGCTCGCTACCAATGCGCCTCTCAACCTTGAATCGCATGAGATCAGCCGATCTGCTTCTCCGTGCCTCATCCTCCCTAGGCTCACTGGCACGCCTATCGCTAGCACTGCCCAGCATCTCAATTCCGTCAAGCGTTGCGGATGGAGTCGCCAAGTCAATGCAGCATCTTCAAATGGCTTGCTCCACTTTGGGCGGTTCGGACAGTCTTGAGCATGCACGCATTGCTGAGGCCGAGGCAGAGAGGGCTTTCTTCGAAAAGAGTATGGTTGGGCAGCTTTATTTCCCCGACGAGCACAAAGTTGCTGTCTATTTACCGCTGCTGGGGCCCGTTGGTGTCCCGCTGGTTATGGGTTTGTTGAATGAGCTGAAGGCCTGGCGGAAGAGGCGAAGGCAAAAGGACGGGCCGGCTTAGATACGATTTGTGCGTGCAATGAGTTTTGAACTTTCTACCATCTTCACCGTGCTGTTATAACGAACATCGTGATGTTGCCACCAAATCAGATATTTCTCAACCTTTTGAGGTGTGTGCCTTCGGCAAGTCGCGATTCTTCTCAGCTAATCGGCGCTTGGCATTGTGAAATTTCTGGAATTTAATGTGACACTTTTGAGATCGTCATCAATTTGTAATATGATCATAGTGATAGGCGTGTTCCCCAATCTGATCAGTCAGTGGTTGGCTTCCATAGCGCTAAAGAATCTAACCTGGCGGGGTTGTAAGCTTACGTACCCAAAAGCCATGAAACCAACCAACCTACTGGGGAATGCTCATCAACCAGCCCATTCAAAGTTTGTTGTATGGCCTGTGACAACTCCCCGCCATAGCCGAACTCCCCGGGTCATTTGCCGGAAGTCGCGGCATGGTATAGCCTGGACCGAAGGCACCTTCTACTAAACCTCGATCTATGAACGGATTTACTCTAGAGAATTCACTGTTTCATTTATTACTTTCATAAGCAGGCTTTACTACGTTCTGCAGTCCCCCACGACCTTGCCCAGTCTTGCAAGAAGACTTCCGTGATCTCCGTTTCGGAGTCCACAAAGCTCGCGTCGCCGCCCAAGTGGATCTGTGCTCCCTGTGACTGCACGTTGCTGGGGTGCTCCCAGAATTCCTCATCCTTCTCCGCACACGAGCGGCGGCCTGTCCCTACTATGGTATCATGGGTAAGTTTTCAATTGTGTGTTTGTACCGTGCTCCACCTAGGCACGAGCCAACTCTTAGCTACCTGGCTTGAAGCGACCTTAACAGCTGTCTTAATCAGATTAAAAGAAAACGTTGTAGTAGTTTGAATTTCGGCTTTCGATTTACCACCGTCGAAATGGAGGGTTCGAATTCGTTAGCGATCTGCTTCTGTAAGGTGTTTAGTCCCTATTGTAGTTGCTACATACGCGATAATTAGGACGCGTTAACAGCAAGTTGGAATCAGAGGTGGAAGTACCTTTTCGTTAGTATGAATAGGCTAGGTAAGAATGGGTAAGAATCAGTATAGCGTTACCTTGGCAGTGGTCCACTGGTACTTGTCAAGGGGGTGAAAACTTTGGCCTGATACCGTAGTAGGTGTGCCGCGGTATCGGCGGAGCTGGTTTAGTCTATAAGGCCCTCGGGAATTTATTGTGGCAATCTTGTATCTAATCATCCTTGATTTGATACACAACTCGTTCTCATACTTGGTGGTTGTTGATGTCCAGAGCCTGATGCAACCAACGACATCCGCTACAGAAGACTCTTTTTCCTCTGTACGATACCTCTGTTCGATCTTATACAATCTTCACCGCTTTTCATCTCACCTCGCCGGTCCCAACGACTGCCTATCTCCTGGTTTATTCTAATAACATCTCCATCATGTCCAATTTTACAGTCACTCTTGCATCTGCCTTCCCTTCCCAGCTCCCCGCCCGCATGCAAGCCTCTCTCGACAGGCTGCCGTCAGCATGGACGTCCTACATTGTCCCCACTGTCTTAGGCTACCTGCTCCTGTGTCAGGCGCTACGCTTCCGCCGTGAAAAGGCTATGCGCAGGAAGTATGGGTACCCCGACCGGGCCAGCTTGGCGCGCATGACGACGACGGATGCGCAGATGATAATCTCGGATTTGTCGATGTACGAATTCCCGTATATGACGATGGCGAGTGCGCAGTTTGGGCTGTTTAAGGTACGTGACTCTTCTGAAGGGGATGTATGTTGAGAAAAGGGTTCAGGGTTTGGGTGTGTATTGGGTGTGTGGATGAAGAGGGCACGTGAAGACCAGAAATGGACGATGAAGACGATGTCCTATCTGCGAGGAGTAAGAGACAAGAGATGTGATTTAGGGCGATGATAAGTTAAAGGCAGAAAAGAGCGAACAAGTTGAAGTGGGGCATGTGAAGACCAGAAATGGACGATGAAGACGATGTCCTATCTGCGAGGAGTAAGAGACAAGAGATGTGATTTAGGGCGATGATAAGTTAAAGGCAGAAAAGAGCGAACAAGTTGAAGTGGCAACTGAAACTGACAAGTCTCGGTAGACATACGGCGTTGAGACCATCAGCAGTCTCCTCTTGGCCACTCGGAATCTGACTGATCCTATCGCCAGCATTAAGAGGTTGATTTTTCTTTAGTCTTTTCTTTTGTCTCCTACCTCATCAGTCTAATTGGTGACCTCGATCTAGATACGAAGATACAGGTGTAATAATTGGCGAGTTCCTTTCCAACCCTCCCAACTCAGAACGCGCAATATCAGCCATCTCGCGCATGAACTTCTTGCACGCCAAGTACATATCCAGCGGTTGCATCTCCAATGCTGACTTGCTGTACACGCTCTCTGTATTTATCACGGAGCCTGAGCGCTTCGTTAGGCTGTATGAGTGGCGACACATGAACGATATGGAACGCTGCGCCTACGGTAACTTCTGGAAGAACATCGGCGACGCTATGGGGATCCAATATGAGGGGTTTCTCAGCAAGGCGGGCGAGTGGAGGGATGGACTGGATTTCGCCGAGGATATATCGCGTTGGGCTAAGGCGTACGAGGTTGTGGCATTTAAGCCGAGTGCGGTTAGCCATGAGCCGGCTGTAACCCTGGTTCCTATGCTTACGTACTGGCTGCCGTGGTTTGCGCAGAGGTTTGCACATGAATGTGTACATGTGTTGCTGGGCGATCGGGCAAGGGAGGCGTTTATGTAAGTCAGGTCCTACCCTGGTTTGTTGATTCTTCAAGCGAACATGCTCCATCCATGTTTGCCAACCAGAATGGCCCGCTGCGGGACGGACCGTGCCTCGTGCTGACACTAAAACAGGCTCCCTGAGCCGGGCATCGGCGCCACGGCCTTAGTTTACACCTCTCTAGCCATCAGGCGCTTCTTCCTCCGCCATCTGTCATTGCCTCGCTTGATCCCGGTAACCAGACACGCCAGTTCGCCCAATCCAGACGGTCGTCTGCAGACGGAATATTCCTATGGGAACTTTCCCTACTACGTGAAGCCAACCTTCTGGAAACGATGGGGTCCCGAGGGTTGGGCGATATGGATTGCCGGTGGGAAGCTGCCTGGTGATGAGCCAGAGCATTACTTGTCCCAAGGTTTCAACTTTTGGGATCTGGGACCAAAGAATCGGATGGGGAGGGGCAAGGAAGAAATGGGGACAGATTGTAAGAGGATGAAGGCAAAGGGGATGGGTGGGTGTCCGTTTTAGGGGTCACCTGAGAGGTATGAATCATTTCTGCGCTTTATGAGATGATAGACAAATTCTGACCGTTCTTGTTCGAGGTCCGTCGGTGGAAGTTGTGGCGTTAAGTTTGACCGAAGTGCTCAAAACTGATGGCGAGTCATGATTGAATTAGGCGAAAACTTCTGCCTGTCAGTTTCGACAGCCGCGTCCATCAGTTCTAGGAAGGAGAAAAATAGCTTTTCAAACCTGGGCACCATCTTTTTGGAACTCTGTATGCTGACATATTCCAAAGGTTGGGAATCAATGGTGTTTGTTAGTGGTGCGTGTATTATCATTTTAGTCGACATCATCCGTAATTGGTTAGCAGTGAAATACTATCTAAGCAATGCCTGACAGGAAATGAACTGTAATTTAATCGAACTCCCAATTATCTTTCCAGACTTTAACAAGTTATTTGATGGAGCCTCCATCCACATCTCTCTCAGCGGCTCTCGGTGCCGGGCTCGCCGCTTCACTAACCCCGTTCTCAAAGACAAGCTCGCCGGTCCTCAGGCTATCTCAACCAGACTCAAGAAACTTCCTGCTTGGATTCGTATAAGTGTTGTCCATGCTTGCTTCAAGCCAACGAAGCCATTTTCCCATGTAAACACGTCAGGGTGAAGTCCCGTTTCCTGAAGTGCGGGGAGCAAGTCTCTCTCCCGTGAAGAGGGCCAGGTGTTAACGAGGTTATAGACTATCTACTAAGCCTCTCAGCATCCCAATTCTCCCCAAGTACAAGCATCCCTTACCGGCCCCAAAATCGGCATTGCCCCAGCCGAACTTTTGCTGCCAGTATGTGTGCACCCAGGAAACAAGGTGTTCTGGTTGATATTTGTTTCTGTCAGCTGAAGGACTCACTACAACACTGCAGATTTCTTCATGGCGACTTTCATGTGAATTCCTGCTCCTGATGTGACTTGATAATTGCGAGTATCTGTCGGTCAGACGCTGCCTTGCGTCAACGCCGGTTTCCTCCTCGGTCTCCACCTCCACTGTCAACGAATTCCCCACCTCATCTGGCAGCTGGCTCCCCGCACTACTCAGAAACCTCACACCACTCATGCCTCCACCCCGTCCCTGCTCTCAGCTAACAACATGAGCGCACCTTCCATACAATCTCCGGCTTCACGGGCCTGAAGGCCGCGGTACGCGGCCGCTCATGGCGTAGATGGTCTTTCAGGCGTGCAGGGTTTGCATGTAGGATAGCAGGCCGAACTAGTGTGAGAAGGGGGCCGTGAAGAAGATCAGGGCGTCTGAGGTGTTGGTTTGGGGAGGGAGGTCGAGCCGGAACTGTGGAGTATGCCGGTGTGGGTAGGCTCTTGAAAGACATCGATGGAGTCTTGGTTGAATGAGGGCAGTAAAGAGTGGCGGGGACTATTGTAGACCCTTCGTGAGAGGATGGGATGGCAGTGCAAGTAATTGAGGCAAAAATAGTTTATCTTCAAGGATTGATGGTAAGGAGAATATAATAGTGTATTGGAATTTTGTTGGTCTAGCAGGGTCTTTACTGCGCTGGGAGATTGACGGGGTGATAAAGGGAAAGGGTGTATCCAAGCCTGATGAACCCGAATATGGTCACGAGGTAGTCCAAGTCGGTTGGCGCGCATACGCCCACGACATAGTCTTGCTTCTGCGCCGTGAAGTTTTATTTCCATATCAAACTTCTACATCATAGAGCTGTGCGTTCGTACTTTTTTGCACAAAAGCGCATGTATGATGAGACTTGGGCTCAATACCGGATTTAAATCACCCTCTATCAGTGTCCTAGCCGCCCCTTTGACAAATTGGTCCAGCTTAACACCGGTCATGGGTTTATAGTCGGTCGTTCCTTGGCGGGCCTTGGGAAACGCTCTCAAAGTGGTCAGCTCGCTGGTGGAGGAGTTGGTCGAAAGTCAGCATTGGTAGAAGACATCGTATCTGTAATATTTCACTAGAGTGAGATGAACATGCGCTCCGAGTTCACATGAATAGTGCTTTGCGTGTCTGAGCCATCATAATATAACCAAGAAGTTGACAGTACTAAGGTGAAGATGGTTGCTTATATACCAATCCAACCTTGAAAGACGTTATGACTTCACTGAAGCAGGGGGTGATTGGCAGTTGAATGTTAGGTGAAACCGAAACCAGAGCATATCTGCGGATGGAGCAAGATAACCCTGCTGATGCCTACATTGGCAGGTCATAAGACTACGTTGCTAGGGACCGACAGAGGAAGCAACTGGAACCACTCATTCTCGTGTGGTGTAAATACGAGAATCTTTTATTCTATAGGTAGTAGGTGCTCGCGTCCAACGCCGATACTCAGGCCTTGCGGTAGAGCTGGGAACGATTCCCAAATCTAAGAAGGGTCACCATCACCCACTACCGCACCCCCTAGTACATGGATTTTTCTATGTGCCACAGTACGAAACAACCATGATCCGCGTTATCACCTATGGCCTCTATCATCCTATTCCCCGCGGCTGGCCAAACACGGCACCCGCAGATGCGGCGTATCACGCCTTCCCGTGGTTTGACTAGACAGATAAGAAAAGTGGCGCGGTTCTGCATCGTGATACGCGAACTCGGAAAGCACGGAATCGTCAGGTGGAGGAATTGTCTTCGATATGCACAAGTACAACACGGGACTGAACTGCCACGTAGTCGACGCGCCGTGCGACGAGTATAATCATCTTGTTTCATTGCTTCGTCGACCTGGCTTCCACCGCATTCATCTCGCCCTCCTGACTGACGGGGAAGGAAATGACGAATAGTCGTCCTCCCGCTGCAATCTATGCGTCGAGCATCTCCGTAACAAGATCGATACACCAGGGACTCCTGAAGCAGACAAGCATTTTCTTACACCTCAAAGCATCTGCCCCATTGAAAGATGGCAGAAACTGCGCTATTTGGGACGTTCTGATGTTCTCTCAGGCAGCACGACTTGTTTTCCTCACTGGACGCACTGCCTCCGACGCTACGGTCCGTCGACCCGAGCTTCTTCCAGTTCATAGAGCGTCATTAGACTCTGGGTTGGCGTGAGCGAACCGTGGGCGAGAGGCTAAGGATTACGATATATGTCGCAACAAACGACAAGTCAACCACTCGAGCCCACCGGATGTATAACGAAGTTAATGAATTCCTGTGTAGCGACGGAGAAATTCCAGTTACCCTGAACGGATATTCACATCACGGATGCGATGGGAATGCTGTACAAGGGTCAGATAAACCCAACCAACCGACCATCCCCCCTAAGTTGGTTGGTTATCCAATTAGTAAGCAAAATGGCCGTGTGATTGGACAACCAGTCAACTAATCTAGGTTTGCTGTGGTTGGTGTTTTTAGGGCTGGTTATTACTGCCAAGAAATGAAGCTATCGCTAAACTCGCCGGCGTCATCCCCTGGAAACCTCTTGGTAGAGCTGGCTATGTTTTCCTTTGTAGCCTCGTCCAACTCATGCAGCCAGTTATTTTCTATAGCCGGATCAGCCATCAGAGCCCTAAGAAGAATATCCAACTGGCCTGTTAAGTCGACTCTGTACGAATTTCATAGTGTGTGGCATAACCCAGGAAGCTAAAAATGGTACTCTTGGGGCTCCCGGGGTACTAGGGTAGCCTTAGGCGAGGTCTGGCGAGACGTTGATGCCACCGAGGTCGGCGTTGTAGGGCGTTCAGACTTTCTGTAGTATAAGGACAGCGGATTAAGCGCTAGAAGAACACCAATATCTTGTAGAGATTTTCGAACTGATAATAAGTCCTATAGAGGGTCCCATAGGGATGGTGGGGACCTCTCGCACTGCCAAAATACTCAAAATAGCCACTATGGGCTTGGCAACTCTAAGACAACCAAAATACTAACCAGGGCTCTAGAATGGTTGGGGTCGGGTTGTTCGTGGACGATAATCCAACCTTGGCTACCCATGGGTTGATGGAAAATGCAATGAAGAAGCCGGAACCGACACGGAAGGCGTTGATCACGATGGCTGTCTCCTCGATGTTCTTCGTGAAGCATTCGGACAAGCAATTGACGGTTATTGGGGTGATTCACCTATGATAGATGGTTAGATCCTACTATAATTGAATTCCCACGCTGGGAGGACACTTCAGGGGAGTGGGAGCCGACTTGTACGGATCCTAATGTCAACAAAATATGGCCTAGACCAAGAATGTGCTACGAGAGTTGATATTGCAGAGCATAGCCAAATATACATAGACCAATCGGACTGCAAATCAACGCTGGTAGCCACAAAGAGTGTAGTTGATACTCTGGTTTCTAGTTTCCTTTATTGAAGCGAAGCGACGAGCCAATGCCAGCGGCAGGTGGTCACTGACAAACTGGCAGTAAACCAAGGTTATGGCAATGCTAATCCAGTAGATGAGTTGGGCTATATATGCGGTTATGTGTGAGTTCTGACATACGCGATCTTAGCTGGATAACCTGGCATGAGAGGTGGAAAAAATCAATCAATGTTACAGCACATTAGGCCTTCATTTCGCATGTATTATTGGCCCCAGGCGACTTTGATGATACCACATTGATAACCCGGAGGAAATCGTGTTGCCATTCCTCAAATGTCCTGCACGAAGACTCCGGCATGCATCTAGAGAACCCATACTTCCGCTTCTAGCCCCGCTGCTACGCGTCTTTAGCCACGGCAAAACCATTGATGGTTATGATTCTAGTATGCGACGGGTCCCCAGTAAAGTCTACACGAACACAAGCAACAAAAGAGGGTTTCAAGACGTGGAGAGCGAAACGGTAGAAAGCGAAGTTGAACTTCAGGGATCTAGGACTATCAGGTCGAGATTACTAGTCAAGAGTACCATCGCGAGAGCCTGCACGAGCAACACATGTTGGGAGTTGTAATTCACTAACCCGATCTACCTAAGGAACAAATTCCTGTGACGCGTATGTTATTGTCACAGCCTGTGAAATCAAAAATCAAAGGCTAACATACGTTTCTTAGAGTGGTTAGCGTGCCAGTCTTATACTCTTTAAACGCCCCATTGCCCTGCTTAGCACGGTAGGGAAGGTAATAGAGACGGCGATGAGCCAGCGTATCACCAAAGTAGCTGAGGCGGCCGGCCTACTACCAAACGGCCAAATGGGTAACCGCGCTGGGAGGTCCACCGAACTGGCAATACGTATAGTTGAGGACGTGGTCTATACGGCGTGGAGACGCGGGGGCATCGCCTCGCTGCTACAGCTAGAAATCAAGGGGGCATTCGATACGGTCAATTACAGACGGCTGATTTCCATATTAGCCCGGAAAGGCTACCCGGAGTGGGTTCAGGAGTGGGTACGCAGCTTCGTGGAGGATAGAACGGTACGCCTCCGGTTCGATGGCAAGGAGTCAGAGCCAATCCCCCTACGAGCTGGCGTCCCCCAGGGGTCACCGCTATCCCCGATACTGTTTATATTATACATTTCAACGCTGTACGAGGAGCTAGCGGAGCAGCATCCACTACTTTTAGTAGTCGGGTTCGCGGACGACACGAACCTGCTAAGCGTCGGCACCGATCCAGACACGACCTGCCGCCGGTTGGAGAGCGCATGGGCTACGTGTCAGCGGTGGGCAGTGAGGCACGGGATGGAGTTCGCTCCTGACAAGAGTGAGCTAATGCACTTTACTAGGGCCCGAGAGCCCTTGCCGCAAAGTATTCGCCTTGGGGACGCCACAGTGTCGCCGGTAGTCTCAGCCAGGTTCCTAGGAGTCTGGTTCGACCGCAAACTGACGTGGCACGCCCATGTTGAGCGTGTTAAAACAAAAATGGCAACTCAAAAGCTAGCCCTGACAAAGCTAGTCAATATGTCGTGGGGCTGCGATCTTATACGGGCGAGGCTGTTATATACGGTGGTTATCCGTAGCGCGATCGCCTTCGGGGCGACTGCGTGGCATACTATAAGTGAGGAACCGGCAGGGCCAGCTAAGAGCCTGATGTGGATACAGAACGAGTGCCTCCGGGTAGTCTGTGGCGCCCACAAAGCGACGCCGGTTCGCCACCTGGAAGCAGAAGCAGCAATCCCGCCACTAGACCTCTATCTTAGTGCCCGGGCTGCTAAGTTTGAAGAACGGCTACGACTTAGCGGGAAGAGAAATCTGCTTCGCAGCGCGAGCGCTAAAGCGTCACATATACTCCGGCAGGATAGGCCGGCGAAGAGGAAGCAGGCGTCGCAGCTACTCCGACCGGCAGGGTACACTATGGAGAAGGAGGCCCGGGGCTCCGAGTGGATGAGTGAGGAAAAGGAGGTCCCGGCTGCCCTCCTCGACCACTGGAGGAAGAGATGGCTCACCGGAGCAGAGCATCACGATCGCCAGCGACGCGCTATCGCTGAGGAACCGGAGGGCCCTTCGATGCAGATACCGAAAGGGGGCAAGTATTTCGGCCTGAAGCGACTGGAGGCGTCTACGCTGTGCCAGATCAGGACGGAAAAAATAGGACTAGCAGCCTTCTTATTCAAGACAGGGGCTTTTGGCGTGTACTCGCCGCTATGCCGCTGTGGCGATGCCCCTGAGACGGCAGAGCACGTAATCCTCTTTTGCGGGCTGTTGGAAGGACCGAGGGAACGATTACGGGCCGCCATCGCACCACGGCCACTATACTCTCGCAGAGACCTCGCAACGGCAACAGGAGAACCAGTAGTTAGTGGGACTATTGTAAGATGGCTGCTAGGGACGGGTCGGACAGCTTCAAGGCCCAGATAGCATCGATCTTCTCAGGGGGGACTTTGTTGGTAGGTTGAGAACCAACGTAGTATGGTAGTGAACGCAACGCAGTCGCCAATAGGGCGAACCGACGACGCAGCGTATGTATTTACTCCAGCCATTAGGGCACGGTTTGACATACGGGAGTACTAGTAGAGGTACCGGGGGCTTCGAGCCTACGGCGTATTTAATAATAATAATAATGTAATTCACTTCAGGCGCTAATTTTAGAACTGAGAGTACTGGGTATGAAAAGCTTTGGTTTTGAAATTATACCCTAGAATATTTGATAGTATAGTTTGCGATTGGACGGTATTGGCACAACACGGAAAATAATGGTCATGGCCAGCAATGCGTATTGGTGAGTGGAATTAAATGAAGCCTGTGTTATACCAACTTGAAATATGAGAGCAACATATTGCAGGAAGTACCTTAAAGTGCTTATAGGGACACAATGTGGTCTTAATATCATCAATTGATACCCCCGAATTGAACCGCGAGTCGCTCCTACTTGCATTTAGGTAATGCCTACTCAGCGATTGGTGCGCTGTCACCCCTCCAAAAATTTCCGTGCAGTTACCCCGCCCCCGCAGTGCTCTCAAGACAGTTGCGACGTCGAAAATACTCCCAGGCGACAAATTCAACGCGAAAACTACTGAAAGATGGCCAACCTCAGCGCACCCCCAGTGCTGTCGACGCCGGCTGACCATATTTTTGTCGAAGATCCAACCGTACCAGACTCGGAGACAGCCCAAGCCAAACGATCTGATAGAACCGACAATGAGCTCCTCAACGTGTACGAGATCGCGCGAACGGCCACCGAAATCCGCGAAAAGGGATGGAAGCGCGTCGCTCTGCAATTTCCAGACGCAATGCTCGCAGATGCACCATGGGTCGTTGGGGCGCTGGATCGAGAGCTTGCGAAGCTGGGCCCGTTAACTGAGTTGAGTGCGTCATCCGACGCGGCCAAAGAGGAAGATCAGGGCAAAGCCGCTGCGATGAATGGCAATAAGCTGGAGATGGATTACACGCAGAAGGGAAACAAGGAAAAGAAGGAAGAGACGAACGCTGCACCCAGGCTGTACATTCTTGCCGACACTTCGTATAGCGCGTGCTGCGTCGACGAGATCGCGGCCGAGCATGCTGACGCTGATGTTGTTGTGCACTACGGACGAGCATGTTTGAGCCCGACATCTAGGATACCAGTGCTGCACATCTTTACACGGCAGGTACTAGACTACGACCAGGTTGTCCAATATTTCGAAAAGGAGTTTTCAGAGAAAGAGGACAAGATCATTGTCATGGCCGACGTCATGTTCCAAGAACATGTCGAGCCCATATGCAACATATTACGACAGAAGCGGTACAGCGGCGTGATTGGGACGGCGATAGTGCGGGACCCCACGGGCGTCATCCCGAACCGCAAGATCATCTTAGGAGAGGGACAAGATACAGTGGTAGCAGAAGGATGTACAGGGCCAGATCTGCATGACCATCATCTTTTCCATATCTCAACACCACCCCGATCCCTTCTACTCACACTCTCCTCGCGCCTCACCTCTCTACGCATTTACCCCACACCGTCTTCTCCATACAACACGCCCTCCGAACTACCAGATCCATCAGCAACACCAGGCATCCTCCGCCGCCGTTATGCGCTCGTCATCCGCCTTGCTACTGCCTCCATCATTGGCATTCTAGTAAATACGCTCAGTGTCAAGAACTACCTCCCAACCATCACGAAGTTGAAGGAACAAATCGCGGCAGCTGGAAAGAAGAGCTACACGATCGTGGTTGGAAAGCTAAATGCTGCGAAACTGGCCAACTTTGCCGAGATCGATGGCTGGGTTGTGGTTGGGTGTTGGGAGAGTGGACTTGTCGAGCAGGATGGGCTATGGAAGCCGGTTATTACGCCGTTCGAGTTGAGCATGGCGCTTGCTGGAGACGAAGAGCGTATATGGGATGGTCGGTGGTGGGGTGGTATCGAGGGAGTTGAAACTGAAAAGAGGAAGGAGGATGCGAGTAAGCAAGATTCGGGTGAACAGAACGGGATTCTTAACACCACTCAACACACCGACGATGTTGAAGGAGGTGTTGATGACGATGAATCCGAACCACCAGAATTCGACCTACGAACCGGCAGACTTGTTAGCCACAGCAGACCCATGCGACTTGCCGCTCACAACGGAGCTAACAATAAAGCATCGGCCCTGAACGGGGAAGTACCAAGGACATCTCTACAAGGCTCTTCAGCGCTTGTACAGAGAAAATTAGGTGAATTGGCTATGGTCAATGGTATCGCTAGCCCTGGTGCAGAGTTCCTCCGCTCCCAAAGGACGTGGCAGGGTCTGGGCAGTGACTTCCACCATGCAGATGAGGAAGAAGATGAGCTAAGTACTATCGTCGAGCAGGGGCGAAGTGGAGTGGCGAGGGGTTACACCGTTGGCGATGATGCAAGCAGGGCATGAAATGGAGACGAAGAGTCAAGATATTATGCTTGCTGCGATATTGCTTTTCCGTCCCAGATGCCACTAACGGGAGCCCGAGGCCCTGACCAGGTGTTTAACGTACGTCTTGTTCAGCCGAGAGCCCATCCTTACAGAGGGTGCTCCTGGTCAAAGCCATCTGCGTCACTAATCGTCAGGTTGCAGTTTGAGGGGGCCTTCACGTACAGCTCGACGTATCCCAGACCAAAGAACTCGGCTATGCATGACTGGCGATCAACCGCCGGTCGGCTTGACGTGGATTCTGCAGGATGGCCAAGGATCTAGAGACCTCTACTTTGAGCTCGTGGTCGCTGATTGGGGCTCAGTACGATGGCGACGGCATCTTGCCCGTCAGGTTCAATCGACCCAATCAACCGCCACGTCCAGAGCATTCGAAACCAACAGCAAGTTCAAGAAAGTCCCTTGACCACTTAGCTATGTAGCAAGATGGGACCTCACATTGTCTCTGCGCATGTCTGTGTCGGTGGCTGTCCCAACCGTATTGATGCTTGTTTACTGTGCTCCCAATGCTCCATGATTTGGCGAGCAACTTGTTCAGACACATAGAAGGAGTTGCTGGATAGGAGAGCAAAGCGGGATGAGACCAAAGCTAGGATTCGACATTCATCATACCGACGGCTTTGGTCTCGTAGACAAGGCTGCGGCCCTCTCGTCGAAGGACAGTGTTCGGCGTTGATTGATGAACAGAGACCTATATATTATTATTATTATTATTAAATACGCCGTAGGCTCGAAGCCCCCGGTACCTCTACTAGTACTCCCGTATGTCAAACCGTGCCCTAATGGCTGGAGTAAATACATACGCTGCGTCGTCGGTTCGCCCTATTGGCGACTGCGTTGCGTTCACTACCATACTACGTTGGTTCTCAACCTACCAACAAAGTCCCCCCTGAGAAGATCGATGCTATCTGGGCCTTGAAGCTGTCCGACCCGTCCCTAGCAGCCATAGAGACCTATATATGGTTATCGGATGACGAAGTAGTTTTGCGTGCGGCCAATATTTGCACGGTTCACAACTTGGTAGTTAGGGGGCAATCCTTTTAGCTCTCAAGCATACCAATTCCCGTCGACCGGCTTTTCGACCTCATCTTTCAGACTTCCAAACGTAAGGTTGCCTGCCCAATTGCTAGTCATATTCGGCGTATATGGCGTATCATTAGGGTGGAATCTGGACGCACCCCACCGAAGCTTACTTTGTGACGTTTTTTTGAGCCTGGTTCTGGGTCCTATATCACAGTCCTCTCCAGGGAGAATAGCCAACCAAGACGAAGCCTCCGGCAGGCAAGCCGGGGTCAGATAGAGAACCCGTCGCGAAGGAACAAGGACCGGGGACGTTTCATTCAGTGCGGGGAGCTGACGGTCTGATAAGAGCTGTACCCCTGCAATCGGACCTGGATCTGCCCGAGTACTCCGATAAGGCAGGCATATAATAAATAACAGTGGTCCAACAATTGAGCCTTGAGTATATCTCTATCCCTACTGCGGTGTTTGAACTTGGGCCATAAGTATCCCTTCCAGTTCCCTCGTTCCTGGATGAATGAAGCAACTGACCAAAATACAGCAACGCCGGATCCGACTACATGTCCTACACCAAACTTAACTACCCCGCCGCCTTCGCCTCGGAAGGCGATCCGCTTAAGGGCGGTTTTCCTGGGGATATAGATCCCTACGTACATGGGGTCAATGATACCATGTATGTCGATGATGAGAGGGGTTACTTCTCTATTGACGTAAGTCTTGTTCTTTCCATATGACTCTTCGACAGAATTTGTTGCTAAGATGTGAACAGCATATGGCAAGGTTCTCGGAGCTGGCGATTGCGTTTGCGATCGAACAGGCAGGTTGGGATAATTCCTGGCGACGATTGGAGTAGGAGTCATCCATTTGCTAGCAGTCGGAGAGGGTGAGCAGTCATAGCGAGAGATTGTGGTGACCGTTTAACGCAATGATAGTGTCCATCTTGTACTTGAACATTTATAATCATTAAGTATCCCGGCTCTCAATATCATTGGGCGTATCATATGGCTCCGGCCCGGGCGAGCGCGTGGCTATTTGGGTTCAAGTTTGGGCTTCCTGGTCATTAATTCTCTTCCTCGTCTTTCTCGTCTTTTCTTTGTTTCACAATCACTCATACTAGGCCATTGCAGGTTCGGCTTTGTCCCCCTTCCAACAGGTGTTGCCAAATCCACGGTGATATTGCTTGAAGCCATCATTGCCCTCAACCATACCGACTATGTTCCCGGCCGTTGGCCCACCTGTGGCAAAATCATAGCCATTTATGTCTTCCAGCGGACGCTCAACATGTATAGCTTCAGATTGATTCCATGGATCTGAGCTGATGGCTGGTGGCCTACACTTTTGCCATTTTGTTTTCATTATCGTTGTGCTTGCGGTGATGATTACACGGCACACTGCGGACTATGCGACGCTCAGCACCAAAGTCGCGCGGGGCTAGCAAGGCTTTTTCGCGCCTTGGGGTATCGGTATGATGGCGATGGTTTGGACTCAGACAGGTTTGTGCCATTCCATATAACATATTTGTTATCGAATTCTATGCTTACGATGAAGGTTTCGATAGCGCCATCCACATGAGTGAGGAAACGAGAAAGGCAACGATGGCTCTCCCTCATGCGATCTTTTGGTCTGTTTTCATGAACGGGATGCTCGCCTTCATCACATGGTCTTTGTCTTGCTCATTCGTATGGGCAACATAGAAGACTCCCTCGCCTCGATTAGTCCTTTGCTAACCATTCTGTACAATGCCATGGGCTCCATAGGAAGAAATACCGTCATGAGCGTCGGTATTTGGTTGTGGGGATTTATTTGCAATTTCGCCAGCATCGACACCGTGTGAAGTCTTAACGGTCGTGGGCCAAAGATAGAGGATTGCCAAAATATTTCGCCTATGTAGGTCTAAGCCTTACTAATCACAGATCCAATCCAACCCCGACCCAAATCCAGTACATCGCTGTCGCCCTTACTATTATAGGTGGATCCCAAATACCGCGTCGTGATTTGTGCTATCATGTTCTGCACTTTCCTCGTCTCGTACCTGTGCCTCCTCGACCTCGGCAGCATAACGTCCTAAGTGGCCCTATCTTCCATTACAGGCATGTCATATCTGGCCCTCTATATTAGCTACATCATTGCAATTTCCTCATTCATCGTCGCCCGTCTTACAAATCCCGATCTCAAGCTCGGTGAGAGGCACTTGAGACGCTACGGCATGTATGTCAACATATTCGCGCTGGTATACTCTGTGTGGATTACTGTAATTCTTCCATTCCCCACGAAGATGCCTGTTAACCCTGGAAACATGAAATACTGCTGTCAGAGAACAGAATGCCATAGGCGCCGGTGGGACGCCGGTGGGGCTCTGGTGTAGGGACGTGCGAGTCATGACACGATATGGAAGTCTTGGTTTGCGGAACAATCGGAGAAACTAGTGCTCCGCGACGCCGGGTTCTAGCTATCTATGTAAGGGGCGGAGGCCCGGGAAGAAGATAGAGAGAGTAGAGATCAATGAATCATCGTGGGCGCCCCTACCTGAGACCGCCAGTGACCACCCGGTGCTACGTAGGAGGGACGCCCGTTACTCCCCATCACTCTGTACTATTGCCTTCGGCCTAGCCGTACCCTGACAACTGCGGCCCTGTGGTTATCCTCGCCTTCCTGGGAGTCTTCGCGTCCTGCTGTATGACACAGGGATACTGACGACGGGGAAGAAATGTCCGCAGGTAAAAGGCGATGATGATGAAGAAGACAGACAACAAGATCCTCAACAAGATCTGCTTTCCGGGCGGCTAACAAGAAAGATCAAGTGGCCTTGTCGCTTTGACTAGATCAACAGCAAGGCCTCAGCAGGCAGGAATAATGGACTTAACTAATATTGTGGGCAGAAATGGCAGTGTTCGGCCCCGCACGGACCACCCAGTGTAGCCACTGTAGATTAGCCAGAGCTTACGGCAAGTAACGATAGTCATAAGAACAACAATGAACGGTGGGCTGCGATTTGCCCACAAATATAAATAGGTCAACAGTTACGAACAATGAGCTCAACAGGCACGAATCATCATGAACGACTTGAAAGATCCAAGGACTCCTCTGTCTCTGGTCGTCCTTGTCTTTCTTCTCTTCCGACGTTGACCTCCGCCCCTCTTCTTCTTAAGAGAGCGTCCTTTGAATCCCTCAGATCCTTCCAGAAACAGACCTATTGCATATTTTCATCCGAAAACACTCTTCAAAGACCCCTGTCCCTACTTCAATGCATGTCCTGGTGGATCCTCATGTGAAGCTGCCGAGTTAGAAGTATGTAGTAATCGCCGGTCAAGTTTCCTACATGATACATTCATGTACATCGGTCATCACAAGATTTACTGTTGGCAATACAGGCAAGAGGGTTGTATTGGTTATGATGATGGGACTAAGTCCCAAAGGCTGCAGCAGCTACGGAAGGGCTATATATGGGCAATTGGCCCAAGTGCTGCACCCAGCACACAGCCGGTCTGTCTGGGGGCACGCGCTGTCTTTGATATGGTTCCTGAAAATGTGGCTAGCAATCTGCTTAGGCATGTTTGATTGTGATTTTTCGCCCACCGAAACCGACCGCCATGTGCCCCCATAGGCCTCCTCTCTCGCGGTGTTTTCAGATCATGCCCAGTGTAAACTATTTTATTATCATGACAAACAACTTGGGATTGGTCCCTCACGCACCTTTCATAGTACCAATACAGCCCCTAGTACTTGCATTCCAACAGCTGCTAACAAATTAGTAGGCTATAAGTTTCATATCCATTGCAACCTGCACTACCACCTGCCTCTAGTTTATAATATAAGTAGAACGCCTAAACTTCTGTACGAACTTACTATACTACTCTAAGTAGAATAAAACATTATCAAACGACTGACGTCTTCTTCCATTGATGATATCTGGCCATAAACCACCGCTATCAGGGCCATTGCGGCCATAGCACGGCTCGAAGGCATTGCTGCGAAGAGCCTCGGTATTTTAAACAATATTCGTGAAGCGCTTCGAGATGGGAGGGACGTATCCTCCGGCTGTACCTGCAGGCTGGTCGTTGCGGTCCTCGAGATAGATGCCCAGTTTACCCTACTTTCAGTGGTATCTCAGGCGCAATTTGGACAGCTGTAAATCCCTAAGCAAGTGCAGTACTCAATACCAACTATTGCTGACAGTTAACAACTTATAAAATAATTTGACAGCTATAGGGCTTAACAGCCTAATGACGGTAATGCGATTCGCCCGATGAAATGGTTGGAGGTTTAAGGCATCTGTTGCGATTCGAAGTTATCGAAGGTATGGCTAGATTTAAAGTGCAAAATCTTACGTCTGATCCGCATCTACCACGAGGTGTTGATTACACGCGAGAGGGTGAAGAGTATCAGCGAGAAAATCCAGAAGACATGATTTGCTCATGTCAGACAGCCTTTGTACTGCCACACGAAGCCTGATGCGAGGTCTCGTCCACACGAATGATGCAGGAGCGCTCCTTCTTGCAGTGCATGCATCCTCGAACATCCTCATGCCGATGCCCAGGTCAAGCTACAGGATGGCGTCATGGATATGAAGTTACAGCATAGGTCTATATCTCCTCAATTCTTTACACATTCGGAAGAGATCTTATTTGAAAACATGACATTGTAAAATCCGTGAAATTCATATTTGTACACGATATAACTGAAGGAATTCCGACTTCGCGTTCTATTCCACCGCAGAGACGTACTTAGGGGTCGATCGAGTTTAGTACTACTCCTTGTTTGATTTCTTCTGCTAAGGGTGATATCTCAGGCCCGACCCAAGCAAACATACTATATGTGCCCTACCTTATTGTGTCTACCATAGTGGATACAACAAATTAGCCCACTCCGGCACATCTGAGTCTTGCCAAGAAAGTCAAGGGCCGTTCTCTCTGGTTATGAAGGCGGTGTGCCGTGGCGGTGTATGTAAGTGGGTATTGAGCCCCTCTGCTTTGCGAACTCATGTAATGGTTGCAGCCTTAACGCAGGACGTGCCACCTCATCGTCGAGCTGTAGGATACTAGACTCTGTGCTGTTCGAGATACCTTGGAGAGGGAGTTGTGGATTATCTGGTTTGAAACTCTCAACACAACATTTGGATACTTTCAGAAAGAACGTCCGATGGAAGCACGATGTTTCATATGCCATTATAATTTCACGTGTACAGAGACTCAGCAGCAGTTGCGTCCAATGAATATGTGAGCTGTCACTTTCTACAAAGAAGCGGAAGCAGCTATCTATAGATACACGACCCTGCTTGGAAGCAGTACCTGGCTCAGCCAGACCCATTGCCAGATCTGGCTCCAACAAAGAGCAGTATAGTCAACAATATTGGTGTGAAACGAAAACAGCCATGGCAGACTGTCAAAAAATTACATCGAAGTCGTAAAAGGTCGTAATCGTGACGCTTTGATCGAGAAGTCCAACTCCTACCCATTTCCTTTCCAACTTCCGGCATAAATACTCGGTCGGTATTGACACTTGTGGAATGGCTCCGACCCTCCTTCGCAGAGGCATCTCTTCACCTGATGGGGTTTACCGATCTTCTATTAACATGCCTATGCGGCACATCCCTCCGCATTAAAACTCTACAAACCGCCTTATACGTAGACACGACGGTGCGAGTGCGAACTGCGTCGGCTGTGGGGGCTCCGGCTGTGTCGGTGGCCGTGGCGGTGGTAGTGCGTCTCGTGAACATACGATTTTCGATCGCTGGTTGCAGTGCGGTCGCCATGGAACCAAGCCAGAACGGCGGTGAAAAAGAAGAATATGCAGTTCATGATACCGAAGGCGAAGCAGGCCTTGAGCATGGCGCAAGTCTTGTCGGTCGAGACATCGAGGCCATTAATAGAGGCCGAACCGAAGATGCCGAAGCTGGCATCGTACGTGTCGCCCCGTTGTATATGTGTGCAATCAGCCTTCGCGATGAAACGCAAGTACCACACGGCGGCGATAAAGGCGCCGACGAAACCAAGGTCGATGACGGAGACGAAGAGGGCGTTGGTTGAGGAGCGGTGGTAGCTGAACAGGGTGAAGATGGCCCATGCGAGCGCAAGCACTGAGACGATGAAGAGCACGAGGATGTAATTCGGCGTAAGAGCATTGACTTGCACGTAGCCGTGGACGAAGTATGCAAGCATTCCCATTGTCGGAATCTGTCAAGGTAATTAATTGTTAGTCCATCGTCGCACAGGGCTGAGGAGGAACTGGGCACCGCCACAAGTGGCAGCGCAAGTGGCAGTCGCGGTGCGGCTACTCTCGTAGGGCTGGGCACTAAGCTTACCAGAGTGAGGATCTGCATAAATCGCCAAAAGGCGAAGAAGACGGCAAACAGCATAATGGCGGTATTGGTGATGAGCTTGTGCGATTTCCTGAGATTCAATTGCGCGTCTGTGTACGAAGTTGGACTTTGCAGAAACTGGCGGAGGGTGGAATCTTATTCAAAAGCTGACCGAGTTTTCGAGGCGGGGGTTGGGCGCGGCAATATGTGCCTTACGTTATAGAAGGATCTCGGAGCGGGATTGGAGAAGTTCGAAGTTCAAGACCCTTCGTGCCTTGTCGTGCGCTGTCGTCCAAATTTAAGCAAACTCTGGAACAGCCTTCGACGAACGCCTTGCCCTGCAGACAGGGATGATGCCCAGTTTTAAAGACGAAAGATACTCGATAATTGGTCTCGCCACAACTCACCGCAAGCGAGGTCAGCTGGAGATGGGAAAGACGATGGCTGGTGCTGCGACAAACTGGACTGATTTGACTGGGCCTCGACTAGGTTGACTGAGTGCGCTAGATGACGTCGCCGATCAGCGCTGAGAACTCTTCCCAGTTTTGGCTGGATCGATATGCGGAAGCTGGGGTTCGCGACCAGGGGTCCCCTGTGGCGATTGGATGTTCGAATGTTCGGAGATGCGGGACGAGTTGCGACTGGGATTTCCTGAATCTTGGGCACTGCTTGTGGTGTTTCTGCTGAGCGAAACCTGAACGGACGGAGGTGTGGAACAGTACGTGATGTGGCGGTTACAGGGGAGTAAAGCTTGAAAGGCTCGAAGAGGCAGAGCTTTCGTGCTGAACAGTTGGTGCAAGTGCTTCATGTTGCGGGCAGCTGCTCAACTGGCGATGAAGTCGAAAATGGCGGGGGTTGGAGTGTTTCGCAATTCTGAGTGGCTGGTTGACCGGGCGGCGGCCGAGAGAGATGCAAGTGGTCCATGCGTCATCGTGCCTGAGCTTCCGGCCCTTCGGAACCTCAACTTGCGAGCTGGCTTGATTCAAACACTGGCTGGCAGAGATTTTCGAAATATGGAACAGTATATGTGCCTGTCAGTCACTATGACCCCCCATTTGTGCTCAAACTCATGTGCAAGCGACACCAGTTGTGCACCACGGCAGCTGCTGTTGACTCAGCTTGACTACTTGCGCGTGGCGAGCAGTTGACGGCCAATTCAGATGGGAGAAGCATCTTCACACTTAGTTGAATTGACTTTGGCGTTGGGCTGTCGGCTTGCTAGCAGGACAGGAGTTCTTCAACTAACTTAGAACCTAGGATCGGTCGCATGCTTGAATCCCAACCAATGATCATCCATTGTTCTGGCCTGTCTAAAATTCAATATCCTCGTTCAGCTTCAGCGGTCGCTGAGCACATAGAGTCGCTACTCAGGGGGCCATCGGTCTACCATCCGACCAGGATCATCATGAATCATGTCGTACATCAATACGGCAGTACAGGCAATCAAGTTCACATTCGACCGAGACCTCGAAGCATCTTGGGTGTACAACCGGACGCTGGGTGTCAATGGATAATCTCTCGTATCTGGCACGAGCAGCACAGCTCTATACTCAAGCACCGTGTCATTCGTTTTCAAACCCAGCTTCTCCGGGGTTTCCATGGGCTATACCACTCCAGCATCCAGTTTAAAATCTATCCAACCAAGTGACAATGAAAACTACCCGATTGGGCACCACTCTATTCTTCTACTTGATGGTCCCACTCTTATTCATGGTCTTCCCCTGGCTAGCTAGCTGGCTGGCTTCGCCCGTCGGGCGCGAGCTAGTTGAAGATGATTATCTGCGACAAGGCCAGGAAGGGGTCGTCCCAATTTTGGCACACTATGGCCAATGGGTATTCACAAGAATTGAGTAGTTTGAGGAAGTATGATAGACATGCGGTGGTTTACACCCGAACGGATACCCTTGTAGACAAAGGAACTCCGTTGATAGGGGTACTTCCTCCCTAACCTGGTATCCAAATGGGAAAGCAATGTCTAAAGTACACGTGAATCACGAAGCATAATAGTATCCTACCACCAAACCATCATCAGGCCAGTAAACATAGAGTAAACATCCGTAGACTTTTCCATCCTTTATACATTATCATCTTATCTCATCGTCCCTTTTTTTTCTTTTTTTTTCTTTTCCTTTTGCCCTTTCAAGGCTCATGATCATCAACAACAGACAGCTCATCAAAATCTCTAATAACAGGCCCCAACCCATCCGACGATCCCCCACCGCTCAAAATTGACCTCCCATTATTCCCCATTCCCATTTCCCGCCCCCTTTCCATTTCAGGACTCTGATCGAAATTCAAGAACCCCCCGTGTCCCGTAAAACTAGCATGATTAGTCAACGGCGGCGGCACCCTCGAAACCCCAGCACCGCGTATACTCTGACTCCGTACCGGCCACCCACCCCTCTCGCCCTCTTCCTCGCCAGCCTTCCCCACGGTCGTTCCAATCGTAGATTGGCTGCGCACGCTTTTTAGCGCCGTTCCGTCGCGGCTGCGGGCGCGGTACTGCGATGAAGTGGGCGTGCGGATGCTAGATGAGGCGTCGTCGGATACGGTGCTTACGGCTGAGGAGCCGCCCCACATCGTAGGTGGCACGCCGGTGTCATTAGACCGAATACTCCGTGTGGCGGGGGTGTGCCAGCCTGCGTTATTGCTCGAGCGGTTGGTAATAGTCTGCGGGGGGCGGGGGAACTTCTGCGCCTGCGCGCGTATCATCTTGAGTACGGGGCTCGCGTGGCCAGAGTTAACGGATGCATCGCTCTCGGCGCCGTCGGCGTTGCTGTTCCACAAGCGGGGTGCAATCCAGCAGTACGAAAGCTCGTGCGCGGCTTCGACGGCGCGGCTCGAGACGCCTTTCCAAGGGGGCGTTTTGGTGCCCTTGAGGCGGGGAGATAAGTGGTAAGCGACGCTGTCCTTGTACCTGACGTTGGGGGAGTCGACTGAGACGCTGGCGAGGGTCTGCAGGATGCCGTAGATGAGAACCCAGCGGCCGCGTCGGGCGGCCGAGGGGTCGACAGCGCCGATTTGGTCTGATTTCTCGAACTTGACGAAGTTTTCGATGAGGTCGGAATGCGTAAATTCGGAGCCGAGGACGTAGATGTTGGTTGCTTCGGTGTAGGCCAATTGGACACGGCGCTCGAGGATCCGGTCGTCGTTGGCCTTGTTCTTCTCCTTGTCTTTGTCCTTATCTCCCTTTTTGGACTTGTCGCGGCCCGCGCCAGGTGCAGTGACTGGTGGGATGGAATCGGGGACGAGCGGATACGGGTGCGGGATGTGTGGGAAGCGCATGCGGTTGTCAAACTCAATGAGCATGTCGGTGAGGGGCAGGTCGGCCGTGTCCGGGTCGAAGGCTCGATTGCCGCTCTCCGAGACCATCATCCACTTCCTGCTGCTTCGCGTCTCCGACTCATCCCATATTATGTCCCGATTCACAAGGTAATCATACAATGCACCAAAGTCCTTCTGTAGTCGTTGGGCCACGGTTCTGGTGAGCCACATATCTTCCCCGTCTGTCGTCCTCGCTCCACACTCCGGTGGGGGCCAACTGCTATAAATTTTGGTGTAATAAGCAGTGAGGAACTGCTGCAATCGATCTGCTGCAGCACGGGCGGGGCCGGTTGCGATAGGGCCTGATGAGGGCCAAATATCCCCGTACCCAAAGGTCGCCAGTCGTTCCTCGGCCGCCTGCACGCGAAGCTGCGTCTCAAGACAGGCTCGCTCAAGTAGCGCGCGTGTGATGGGCGTGATGCTTTTGAAGTCGGCGCATTGATCGACTCTATCGTACATGCCAGCGCAATGGAGAAAAGCTTCCCGCCAGCCTTCTTCCCACCGCACCTCGGGGGATTCTGACCACGCCAGCAGCGAAACCGCCGTCTCAACGTCGTTTTGGGGATCGTCAATACCGCGAGCGGAGAGGTAGTTCAAAATGGTCCCGACGTTGTCGTTATCAGATGGCATATATATTTGAAGCCGGGCGTGGAGATCAGAAAGGGCTTGGCACAGTGATAGGCCGACAAGCGAGGCGTGGTAAAGGAGCGCGAAGACGTTGCGCGTCGCGACGTGGTGGAGAGTTGCGTTGGTTTTAGTCATGTTTGACGGAGTGGGGAAGTACATTTCATAGGATATCTGTCCGTCTGCTTCACCGAGGCTGGTGTCTTCTGATATGGGCGGCGTGGGCTGGCCACCACGACCGTGGCCGTACCCAGCGTGCATTTGGCTACCATGACGGGGTAGCATGGGTGGTGCGCCAACCGGGGACGGTGGCATATGTATGTCTTCCTCGGTTGAGCCTTCTCTTAGCAGGGTGATGAGAAATCTGGATTCAGTTGCCTCGATGATGTGCGAGGAGAGCCGGAACGACGGATTCGGCCTCGGCGATTGACCTTTTTGACCAAAGAACACTAACACATCTCCGTTGGGATCCCACAACTCAGGGTCCTTCCGTAACTTATTCCATCGTTGCACTGGCCTCCCGGCACCAATCCATCGCTTGATGGGGGGCATGCTGCTGGGCGGAGGAATTGGCGGTAGTTTGGCAGATGGTGGTGGTGACAAGGCCGCCCCGTGCATTTGCAGATCCCATATGAGGGCGTGGGGCAGATTTGGGACGGGCACCGAAGGCGACTCGACATAATCGGATTGATCTGGGTCGTGGTAAGCTCGTATAGTGGCATCTGATTGTGGCCTCAGATCCAGGTGGCCCAATGAAGCAGTACCGCCTTGCTTGTTCTTCTTCCCAAAAGTGAAAGCTTTTGAAATGCCTTTCCTGACCTCTTCGCTCCTCTTGTCGAGTGCGCTCCGGAAGCCTGATCGCTCAATTCCGGACACGTCCTCCGTCTTGATAACGGGTTTTCTGGCTCGCGCATAGGCAAATTCCGGCATCGGCGCATTCTGATGCGCCGTGCCAGCCTCTCGTCGCCCTGCTGCACTATCGCCACTCTGACTGCCACTGCTGTGATTACTGAAGTTGGTCAGCTCCGTGTCTCGAATCGGCTCTGAGAACTTGAGAAAGCGCGCGTTGGTCGTCCCGTAGCCAGTGCCTGGCGGCAACGGGTACTCGCTGGTAGCAAGATCATCGCGGTCGGAGCTTCGTAAGCTTTCTGGTGATTTTGCTCGACCTCTTGTTAATACTGAGCCTTTCTCTCCCGCCTGTGTTTCTGTAATCTTCTTCCGCACATATGCGCTTCTGCCCGACATGGCAGGCTAGCAAAAATTGATATTCCACCCAGACAGTTGTGACTTCCTGATTAACTTGTTGCTATGAGTCGTGCGGGTTACCCCAAAATGATGGTCCCCGAACTTCTTAAGACCCGATAGAGTGCAGTGCATGTAGTTGGGCTAAAACGATAGCAGTGATAGCAAAAGTGGGCGCAACGATATATCGATATGTGAGATTGCGATCTTCTTCAAGTTGTAAATGAAGCCAGAATCTGCAAGTGACCGGACGGCAGACTGTTGCGCCAGTAGCAAATATTCAAGATGGAAACGAGGTATACTTGGCTATTGAAGACGTAGATTGACAAAGCCAGAGCTTGGAAATTCTGCGCAAACCTGAGGGTTCCGGATTGGGTTGTGTGCAGTCGTGTCGATCGTTCTGAGTGTGATCGTCGTCAAGAAGTAAAACCGGGCGGTTTGGTGGCTGCGTGAGCTATCGAGAGGCCGGCGTAAGGTGTTTAACTGAAGCAGTCCCGAACTCGAGTCCCGTTCGCGTTGAGAGTGAAGCAAAAGAGCATCCAAATATTCGATCGACGAAGTTGCGTTTACTTGGCCGAGTCCGAGAACATAAGCAACAGCGATGACAGACGCTCCTCGAAAATCAAAGTAGCTATGTTCCCCACGGACGGTTCTGGCCGAGAGTTTGGCGCGTGGCTGTCAATGGTGTCACTTGTCGTATGGAGCCGATGATGCTCGTGGCGCGTCGTTGGGGGTGCTTTGCTTTTTTATGTTGTCGTCGCTGGTCTGCAGACTTTCTTTTGCAACTTGTAGAAAGCTTTCTGGTATGCGATGGCACCACAGGAACCTCGAAAGTTGATCAATCACAGCAGCCGGTCGTGCTTAACGCTTTGTAGGCTCGGTGACAATGAACTTAACCATCCACTGTACTCCTGTAAAAGCCAACGAGTGGATGGGAAGCCTGGAAATTTGTACGAGAGTGACTTGAACGGGTCGCGCAAAGTCAGGTACGGTTGTGCTATTGGACAGGGATGAAGAAGCATCGAATCTAGATCAGGAAACGTCTGGTGAGACATGTTGTAGTTGACCGGGATCCTAAATGCACCCAGATAACGACAAGACTTGATGTAATTGATGAGAAGTTTGTAGCTCCACGGCCGAGATACCATTTGCTCGCTTCCACTGGTGCTTACTGTCAAAAAATTGGTCATACGTCGACTGAACCGAACCGAAGCGGAGAAATGCCCGTAATCATTTAAAGTACCAAGAGTCTAGCTTAGTAGCTCATCTGGCTCGGTAATACTGCATGGACGACGTTGAACTTTGAACTGACCGTGTCTCCTTTGGTTTCGAGCTCAGCTCAACCGTGGAGTCGAGTTCCAAGAAACGGGCCAAATAGACCGCAGAGCAATCTATGGGTACTTCCCCGGTGTCCAAGCCGAGAAGCATAGCCGCGCAAGGTCAATATTAATCAGATACTATGCTCCTGCCCAATTAGATCCTGCATGGGTCCCTGGTTGTGAGAACTCTCTTGTCGTAGAACTCGTTCATCGATTAAATGACCATCGTATTTTGTCATCAATGAGTTGATGGTCACGACAATGGACTCGTAGTAATCTCAACTTTGCAGTGTGCAAGCCGACGACGATGATGATGATGATGATGATGATGTTTTGGCTAGTGATGAAGATCAAAAGCCACGTTGAAGGTCGGAGGCTGTTGAAAGCCATGATGGAAAAGCACACGAGGACGGAGCAAGAATTCCAGTTCGCCGATAGACCCGGCGCGGCGGTGGCTCGATCCCCCCATTTCGCAGCTACTGCATCCATCCTTGTAGCCCACCAAGCCACCCAACCAGAAAGGCTTCGAGGCAACCAAGCACCTGCCTGCTTCAGTAGAGCGATTAATCAAGATACAGTAGTAATCAATGATATTAGATCATGCATTGTCAATATCGCGGTTATCAACGTGCGTGCTCCGGACTCTGCGGACCGGGAGAGATGCGGCGTGGTCTATCATCAGCGACTGATGGAGGAATCGCGTAGCTTGTTGTCCTGCAAAGTTTGGCCGGGTTGGGTGACAACGATGGTTCGTTAGACGGGATACCAGTGCAACACCTTGTAGTCACCTTTCATTGCAGAACCGTCGCATTTGGTAGGTGACAGGTAGTACTACAACCTGGCAACAATAGGATTGGCTTTTCAGACTCCTTGTCCACGTCTTCAGTCTGTGAGTGCGACCTGTCAGGATGAAGCACAAGTCAGAGGTGAAATACCTACCCGAAATGTGTGTAATATGCCAGAAAGTCAATTCGCGCCAATGGATGGCTTGTCCTACGTGCCTCCACACCCTGCCCAGGTACTCACTCCTAATTAGTCTGCTCGTTAAGGTTGGGACTTGGCTGCTCCCCCACACAGTACCCACGTAATACACCATTAATGCTGCGTGGGAACTTGCCAAAGCATGGAATCAGCCTAAGCCGAACGTCAGGGTGTCTATCCCTGTGGATGTGCGAATGGACTAAACAGTGTCGTCGGTGACCAACATCTTGTGGGTGCTTGACCCGACGCAATGGGTGGATAGCTGGGGGTGTTGAATTCATGAGGGGTAATTGGTAGGGAACGCAGCGAGAAAACCGTGGGGTTAGTCTCGAGGGCCCCCATCTCTGCCCTAGACACAGCTACGTTTTAGTTAGGTGCTATAGTATGGTAGGATTCGGCAAATCGGAAACGTTTCAACTAAAGGCAAGCAAAATTTGGTAAAAGCGTAGTTCCTAAACTTGGAAGTGACCAACAGCCGACAAGGTACCTGTTGAAGATCATTCTTTCCAATGGAGAAAGCCTCAAAAACGAGCGGGAGCAGCGGGCCACATGCTCCATTATTACCCCAGGCCTACATGTGTACTACATAAATTTTGCTGTAAATGCCGGAATCAATCCTGCTCAAGTTGAGTATGTCGTTTGAGTCAACATCCTGTTGTCAGACCTAGGGGAATTTGGTAAATCGTTGCAGGTTGTCGTATTTGACGCCAGTAGCACGCCTCTTAAGGGCCCGCTTCCACGATGGCAGGGCGCTAGACCCATGGGCACGCACCGTCACATCCAGCCCTCTCGTAAAATGTCCGAAGCATCCCTAGATGTTTCACGAAACGAAACAAAAGGAACACGGGGATTTGTCCATTGCCTGGCTCGCAAGCTGGCGCGCTAAGCTAATGATTAAACATTGGAACTTCGTATCGTTTTCTCCTATCACCGTTTCAACTCCCTGCCTAGGTTCTCATCTTATCATCACACTGGCGAACATTGGCGGATTTGATGCCGATTGGCCCCATTGGCTGAACTCCTGGTCGCATTTGTGACTTTTTCTGGGCTCGGGTAGGTTTGTTTGCTTCAACCGTTATCAGCATGGCAGCATGGGCTCATAAATTTGATCTTAGCGGCACATAGATGGGATGGCACCGGATAGTTCTGGACCTTTTCAACCAACCAAAGTCGGTTACTATCAGGGTTGGAGACACAGACCTTCTTGACTGTGCCTCTGTCGCTGCAACTATCCTATATCCGGCGATGATCGCCGGCGGCTCAGCCGCTCATGTGGTGTTGCCAGGATCATGAAGGGGACACAGCATTGTCATTTCAGGCTGTCAGGAAGGCTTAACATGGGACTACCAGTAGCTGGAGGCGATACTCATAGAGTGGGGTCATGAATATGGATTCGCTGTGCCGCAAGCAAACAAGCACATGGAGATTTATATGAAGGCCAAAAAGGGATGTTTCTTTTTCTTTCTCTATGATGGTTACTTCTGGTTTTGGGGCGGGGTTTTGTAGCCCTGTACTTGGCCGTACCTTCCCACCGCATGGCCCCCATATATGACGAATTGTTATTTGCTAGTCACGATGTGGATAACAAGGGATCAAAGAGCACCGTTAAGACCGCGAGTCTTATTCTCTGATCCCTGGGTGCTCACAAACCTCCTGTTCCAGGCCGCCAGACATATGCAGAGCTCCACGCATGCCGGTTTTGTCTTATCAATCCCTTTATGGTCCAACTCCCTGTCATAGCTTCAGGTTTGCCGACATGGCCTCTTTTGCTGGTTGGCTCCACAAGCAGATAGACACTGTAACAGCGAAATACTGGCCGACTCGGGCAGCATATCAACCTTTGACGTCTTAGAAATGGAACATTGCGATCCAAACGGCCAAACATGCTGGAACTTGATGCAAAGATGGGCACGGCCGAGAGTTGCGTCATTCTGGCCTTCGAGGCCGAGCGCAAGCAGGTAGAAACGCACCACCTACACGCTGAAGCATTCAAAATTCAACACCTAGCTATAATCAGACCGTAACTAAAATGCACCAATGTCGACACCAAGCCTCTCACCCATAATGTTGGCATTGGCTCATCTTGCTTTGAACAGCTGTTTCCCCCGTCATGCTGGACTATGATAAAGAGCTGTTGTATGGTGTGGGTTAAGTTCGATTGTACAAGACGTTTAGTATTCGACATTGGAACTGCAATACCCCGTCTCTTTTGATGAAGAGCACACCGCATACTTCCACATACTGGATAGAACGACGTTAACTCCTAGACATACACGACCCGGGAGCAATAGTATGAAGCTCTACTTGGATTTCCATGCTCCGCTTTAGAAAACATGATAAACAAAAGCGATAATCCTTGTTTTCGGAGTTAATATACCTCTGTATTGAATAGAAAGTCCAATGTTCCGTTTCTTCAGACTTCAGTTCCCAGGACCCATGGACGTGGTGGACTCACAATCAACACAACACTCGAATACTCTATAGGCTGGCATTGATGTCATGTATAGATGACGAAAACACTGGCTGACAAAACTTAGGTTTGCGAATGTCCACCATGGGGGCTCTATCTCGATTGTTAGATATATCTGGCCGGTTTATCAGCTTAAAAGCTTTGGTGGATAAAGACTTAGCTACCTTGAAAATGTGATATGGTGCGTTATGTGATGCTCATGTCTCAATAGAAAGTTTTCTAAGCATTAAAGATGGAAGTTGAAAATAGTTTTGTTCCCACAGATCAAGTTACGGGAGGGTAGTTGCAATGAGCCTGACTCTGGAATACCACCAGATTCTCCTGCCATTAAGTGATTGCAATATTCAACTTGGGCTGTAATATTTGGGCTATTCCTGTGTCTAATAGTACCTTTCACAACGAACTTATTATTGTACTGAACTGGGAAAGTACGCTGAAGACCTAGCCACGTGATTTGCTACACCGTCTGGGTTAACATGGGAACTTTGTGTTGCCATCATCAAGGCGATATTAAGTTTAATATACTCCAGCAAGCGTTATTTCATCTATTACTCATCATTTTCTCAAGTTCCCTTGCATGAAGCCATTGTCTATGTATGGGATAAAGCAGATGATTACACATGCAGGGGAAAAGCTCAGGACCTATAAATATCGATCAAATCCATATGGCACGACTCGTATTAGACAGGCAGCCAGCATTCGTCTACTTCCAGCCAATTTTGCATCCCGTCAGTATTACTAATTGCAATACAGATCCTTCCACCATAGGCCAACTTCACTCCCAACCCAAGTTAAAAAGAGAATGTCCACCAAGCATTCATCCTCCAGCGACGTCATAGCTGCCAAGAGCAGCAAAAAGGGCGGTTCATCCCCCGATTCTTCCTCCTCCGAAGACCAGTACGACCTCCAAAGATTTGTCACTGCCCATAACTAAAACGGCACTTACGCCCAAGCCCTCAAGGAGCTCAAACGGGGGCTCAAGAAGACGCACTGGAGTTGATTCGTCCTCCCACAATACGCTGGACTTGGCAGGAGTGTCATGGCCCAAAGGTACGCCATCAGCACCGTCGAGGAGGCAGTGGCGTATCTGGAGCACCCGATCCTGGGCAAGCGGATCCGGGAGACGGCACAGGCGGTATTGGACAATCCAGCTAAGAGCGCGATGAAGATGCTGGGGGATCCGGATTACTGCAAATTTCAGTCATCGATGACGCTTTTCCGGTACTCTGATCTGGATGAGGACAATGTTTTTGGGAAGGTGCTGGATCGATTTTATGAGGGCAAATTGGATGAGAGGATGTATGAGTTGATTGAGGAATACGGAGAGGAGAGGGAGGAAGTGGAATAAGAGGATAGTAAGGAGCAGACGTAAAAGTAGGTATCGACGGATCTGGTTTGGCTGTCTGGCCCAGTCATAGTCTGCAAAAGAAAATAAAACAATCAATTTATGGAGTTTTGAATAGAATAATACAACCCGTTAGGGCAATTAGTGATAAATCCCTCGAGTCCCTTTGATATGACCTGCTTCGGTCCTTGATGATCCCCTAGTAGCAAATGATTTCCCTGTAGCGTTGATGTAGTCCTCAGAAACTCTTCTTGAGTTCCTTACCATGAGCTAGTTCAACCCTTCATGATCCTCTAATTGCAAGTGATTTCATCGTATGGTCGATGTAGTCTTCACAAGCTCGTTCCTCTGGTTCCTTTGCCATCACCTGCTTCGCCCATTTATAAGCCCCTACTTGCAAGTGATTTCCCTGTAGCTTTGATGTACTCCTCACAAACCCACCAGAATCTACTGATCTGTAGATCAAATTTTCTCGCCGTTGTTATCTTCGCCTTCTTCTTCATGGTCGTCTTCATCTTTGTCTTGGCCGTTGACGAGTTGTTCTTGGTCATTTTGGTTTTGGTCGCCGTCATCTTGGGTGTAGACATTCCACCCATTGTTCTCTAGCGTATGGTACCATCCGAAATAGTCCTCGTTCACTTTCCAGTCCCTGCTGCTGACTGGGTTATTGATATCATCGTGTGCCGTTGACTGGAAGCCCTGGTAGCCGGGGTCGCAGGCCTTGTCGCACAGGCTCTTTACAACCGTACCACATCCCTTGAGCTTCTCCCGCATTGTGTTTGCCCACCACACGTGATCCTGGCCCGTGAATCTGACCACCCGAAGCTTCTTGCTTGAGAGAAGAAGGGGGCCCAGGATTTCGGCAAGCTTCCGGCTCGATCTCTCGCTGATATTGCCCCCGGTCGTGTCGAAGTGTAGAAGCTGAAGGTTCTTGGCCGCTCTGAAGACGTACTCGAGGAATTCTCGGATGGGTGGGCAGATGGTTTGCAGCCACTCGATATGCAAGTCGCGAATGTGCTCCGGGCGGAATCTTCCGGGCGAGATAATATCGATTTTTGTGTCCCAGTCTTCCAAGTATCCTTTACCCTCGAACATCATGAAGCAAAACTGGAAGAATTCGGGTTTGGCTTCCTTATATACTTCTTTGCAGGTTCTCATGATAGCGGGAAGGTTGCTAATCCAAGGGTTACGATCGTATTTGAACGTTGCATAATCTTGCTCGTCGTCATCTGCATAAAGTTCCCAGGGTGTATCGTCGTGGCGCCATACAATCGTACGGCTGTTGTCATAATGGAAGTCGCTCCAATTGCGCACGCCGTCTTCATCTCTCGGTTTGCCGGGTATGTAGTGTCTGTACATATCGAGGGCAAGCTGGCAGTAGATCATCCGACGTAGCTCAGTCGGGAGTGACATGAATCGACCAGGCTGATTCTTGCGCAGTCCCCCCTTGGGGAAACCCTTTCTGAGAGCTTGATCTATGATGGTATGTCAATAACTGGTAATGCTGACAGCAAGGGCACTTACCATAATCGGCGATGGTCTTGACGTCGGTCCCTCTTAGCGTTCTGCCGCCGATATTGTAAACTCTGTCCGCGTTCTTGACGTCACTCCCTGGGTCGGTTCTGCTGTTGGATGCCCGGGTGTTGCAGTCGATGTCTGGAACCTTCTTGACGGTCTCCATGTCGGTGATGGATGAAGATCCTAATGCGTCTCCGGCTACGATGAGGAAGAAGCAGCAATATTTTGCATCGACGATACTTAGAGTTGCACTTCGAGAAAATTTGAGGTCTCAAGAGAGGTGAAGGTAACCGGGATGCAGGGTGCAGATATTGCAGAAAATTATAACTGATTGTGTGATGAACTGTGTATGGGTGCGTCGCGCATTCAGAGAAAGCTGGGGCTTTTCTTTTGCGTTGAAGATACACCGAATTGTTCTTCGGAGAGGTTTAAGTTGGCAAGAAGTGCAAGGACGACGACTGTGGTGAAGTGCAGACCTTGCGGGAAGTAAAGACTTGATATTTTGATGAATTGTGTACGTGGGTGTTGCCCCGTCAGAGCAAGGGTTAGTGCTTTTAAAAACCTTTGAAAAATTTGACGAGGATCACGAGGATCGAAAAATGCAAAATTGTGTGTTTGCGTCTGGGTCTTTGTGGCCTTTACGGGACAGTACGGCGATCAACCAAAATGGAGGCCTAGGCTCAGATCCGGGACCCTAATTACTTGAGCTCGGTGGAAAAGAGGAGAATGTGTAAGTAGTTGTGCAATAATGGCTAAATGTGTCAAATAACTTGTTCGCATGTGGGTTCAATAACCTGCTGCTTCCAATTTCGTCTGGTCTCACCTATGTCCACGCCGTTATTTGGCTCGTAGGAATTCGTCTGCCCTGGAGGCAAAGACTAGAGACTTGGCTCACTACGAGCTCGAGCAGCCTAGTATGTGCTGTGTTGATGAGGCTCATAATCATTGCGATCATGCTACCGATGACGTTACGACCACACTGCATTTCGCTGACAGAATGACTATCGTCAGGTCTACATGGAGCACCTGGAATGGAGGGAAACTCTAGCGGCTTCAAATGCAGAACACGACAGAGAATATCTGCAGTAAACCCAGGAGATCTAGACGAGCATGGGCCAGCGTAGGGCGCGGAACTGGTATGTAATAACTGTGAGTTGTCCTCCGATGTCACCAAAATTTTCATGATAATAAATGAATAGATCATGTAGGCGGACAATCTTGGGATATAGCGGACCATGGATGCTGTGGATATCGTATCGGAATACAGAGGTCAGCTGCGTGCTACCAAGCGGCAACACCGATGAGGAGCATCTGAGCATCATACCTGGAATCAGAAAAGTCCCTCCGACTCCGGCAGTTGCATCGAAAGTCATAAGTTACTGACTATACCAGCCCGGCCCCTTCACTCCTCCCCCAACCCCCAAGGCAAAAATTCCGTCCGACGAACCACCTTCCCGTCGTCATCCCTCATCATAAAACTCGCCATCATGCCCTTCACCACCGTCCCATCGGCCCCGATCATGACCTTTTCATTCGGACTCGACGCGAAATCCAGTACCCTACTCTTCAGCGGCGGCATCGCCTCCCAGTCCACCTCCACCTCTTCGTTTTCCCCACAAGGCTGATCATCCATATCAAGCACCAAATCATGTTCAATCTCGACGATCCGCCGACCGACAGGGTACATCTGCCTTACCTCCCATAGCGTCTCCCGCGCAATACCGTAATTTCGCATCAGCGCCAACGCCTCGAGTCGCGTGGGCAGGTGCCGGCATTTCATGATGACGAAGTAGATCATGGAGAGGCGGCCCATTTCAAAACTGAACACGGCACTTGGTTTCACGGTAGTGTCCCCAATGCGGACGGGGGCCAGTCGCGTCGCACGACGGACGATGGAATCGAAGACCGGGGTGTAGGCGTCGTACTTCGTCTCGTCCGGATCGTTGGCGAGGTCGGTCCAGATGCGCGCGACGTCGTAGCGCAAGAGAAGGTTGCAGCAGCCGGTGTCGGTGTCTTCGCACAGATGGAATTTGTTCTGTAACCCGATGAAGCGGGTGTGCCATGCGTCTAAGGATTCTCTAAGGTAAGCTTGGGATGCTTTCAACTCGTCTGGGCCGCGACGCAGTTGTCCGCGTCGGTAATACGGGTCCCCGAAGCGGATGAGTCGTACTGTTCGGTTAAGCAAGCCGTCGTTGAAGTACTGCGCTTCGGCGAACGAGGAGAAGTGGTCGGGAATGGGCTCATCTAGTTCGGGCACCTCGGGAAATTGGTGGATTTCCTCACCGAAGAAAAGGGGGACGACGGCGAGCCGTCGGAATATAGGGGCCAGATACTCTTTGGTCCAGGGGTACGCAGCCATTATCTGCTGTAGTATATCAATGCCGTGCCGAGTGTGACTGATCACCTGCGTCCGATTACCCTGCAAGTACTCGATACATATAAACAAGATACACACCAGCAGGACAAGCGGCTCGTTCTTCACAGTGCGCAGCTTCTTAATAGCAGCATTGTAGTGCCCAAGTGCAAGCCTATTATCACGTAACAGACAAGTGGTTCCCCGCCCGCTATTGAAGTCCTCATAAAGCGTGCTGATGGCGATGATAGAGTGCCGGACGGCAGGCTCGAAGCCGCTGAACTGCATGACGACGTGGGTCCAAAAGTACGAGTCAAAGGGTCCCGAGAGAAAGGACGCAACCCGCTCGTGGAAGAACTGCAGGGCACGGCCTTCGCCAGGCTGGTCGATGGACTGAAAGAGGTGGCTTGGCCGATGGAAGGTGAGGCCCGTGGCGGCGACCACAACGTAGCCGTCGCATTTGCGGCCCGTTGACGTGCAGCGGTGGCAGGAGGGATGCTTTTCGTCGCATTTTACTTTGCGTATTCTGAGCTGGGTTAGTCGATCTTGTAGCTTGCAGTGCCAAATGAAAGTAGGTATACTTCGGTACTCACTTGCATGTATAGCAACCTGTCCTGACCTTGCGGCTGCCTTTGCGTGCCATATGGTCTAGGAGAAAGTGGGTCAGAGAATGAAACTGGTGCTCTTGAGGCCAATATCGAGTCCGAGTGAGCCAGTGGAAGTAGTCTTCACAGATAGAGACGTTGCAGATGGAGATTGCTTTGGGCGCTGGACAACATGAGATGCGGTGAGCTGGTAATAAGTTGGATGTGGTAAAACCTGGAGCTGGTACCTATCTAGTGGTCGGTGGCTGCTTAACAGTGGGGTAAGTCCGACCTGACCAATCATTCATGTATGATTCCCTTCGCTAAAGCTGCAGATGGCTTGCCAACGGTGCTCCTTACGAGACTTGCACATGGGGCTTAGCTGATTATGGGTGCAAATCTTCGGAATCTTGTGTCGTTGACAGATATGAGAAGTCAAGTCGGTCCAATGGGATACACAGAGCTTCTAGGTACAATGTGGGCTGTGACAAGCTGTAGTCATGTTTACTAACGGTCCCCTAGTATCTCGACATGCTTGACACTGCCCAGGCGCGCATGTAGAGACAATAATTCCACTACGGATACCCGTTTAAACCTCCACCTCGCAGCTGAATAGTCTGCAAATCCAACAGTCCCCAATACTTCGTGTTGTACTGCCATGAGGTTGGGCAAACAAGAATCCGAGTACATCAGGCTCCCTACGGCAATGGCATTGCTCTTAGCTAATGCATCATATACCAGGTGCTTTACGAAGCTGAATGCAAGCCAGGTGTGCTATTGACTTCGCTCAAACAATCAGAAATTGTAGCATTGCACATGACAGTTCGTACCTTGTCACTACTGACTGAACCATGGCCCAACCACGATCTTCGCCCGAGGTCTCTCCTTAGCCCACCTTATTAGACCACACCGGCCTCAAGAATAGCAAACTCATCCCTCCCAGAATGAAGCCTCGCCAGCGCGCCCCCATAGGCAAAGTGACCATGGGACTTGTATGCCCAAAATCCGCATGCATCAACACAGGAAACTCCCTCCCCTTCCCGCACTTGCTTCCCTTCTCCTCCCCAATCGCCAAAGCCTCCCCGATAACACTCTCTAGCTCCTCCATCTGCTCCTTAGTATCATATCCAAAGAACCTCCCAAATAATAGCCCCACAATCTCCTCAAACACCCCCGCCGCCGCGAGATCCGCCATCGCCTGCCTCACCTTTTGCAGTATATAACCCTCGTCGATCGACATTTCCGCCATGGCCGTCTCGACGAACATGATTTTCCTCTTCCAGTCGGGAGTGATCTCTTTCAGGCCCTGCAGGCGCACAACGACAGACAGACAGCCGCCAAAGAGCGGGCCGGTTGCTGTGCCGTGACGGAGCCACTTCCGTTGGGGGGTTGGGGCTAGAGTCTGCACAGCGGTGGAGGTGAAATCGAAGAAGTATCCAGGCAGCCTAGGCGCGTATCTCTCTGACTGCGGGAGAGGACCAAGCGGTTCGGTGCCGGCTTGAGTGATAGCGCGGAATAGATTCTCCACCGTGAACCCCAATGGTTCCGGCGCAACACCAAGCTCTGCAATGGCAGTAGGGCCGTAGAAGGAGCGCAGCCCGGCCTTGGCGGCGAGGAACCAGTGCAGGGTGCTTATATCGCTATACCCGACAAAGATCTTGGGGCTATCCTTGATAGCTTGGATAAGCTCAGCGTCACGGAGGAGCGTGGGGATGAGCTCAGTGGCGGTGGGGCCGCCGATGGTGCAGATTATGGAGGATACTTCTGCGTCGAGGAAGGCCGAGCGGAGCTCCGTGATGCGATGCGTGATAGATTGAATGATTGTGAGGGAAGGGGTGTTAGGGGCCCAGAAGATTTTGATGTGGAAGTTGTGCGACTCAAGGAAGGATTTAGCGCGGTCTACGGCAGCGGAGAGGGTTTCGTTCGGTCGGGCGGAAGGGGAGATGAAGGCTATGGTATCGCCAGGCTGGAGGGCTCGGGCAAGGATGGGGGTCGGATACATCTTTTGGATGGGTTTGTAGTACTCAGCAGTTTGGTAGATGGAAAGTAGACTAAAGAGTAGACTTGAGAGTGGGCATATTTATCCAATCTTAGCCTCCATCTGTCGGGTATTTCACTGCCCGTTTCTTATTCTCTAGCTAAACTGTGCCGCAAATGTGAAATGATTTCAGATAGAAGGCGTTAAGTGATTGATCAGTAGTGTAGGTGCTAAGATTACCAGCCACTTGGACTTAGCCCAAGAGCCTTCGACACAGCACACAACGACAACAATCAATTGGACCGGTTGCCTCAAGGTCATATTACCGCCACATCAAGGTCACATAACAAGGCACGTGAATATCTGACAAAGGATAAAGCTGCATCTCGGCCATACATAAAATCGCTTTCAAAAAGGCTACCCCATCCCTACTTTTACGCGATAGAATAAATAGCCAACCTACGCGATGAAATAGCAACGCTAATCGCTAAAAACAACTAAATTAGAAGAGAAGCTGATTCTTAAGTACATGTAGATATAGAATTAAAAGGGGTTTTGCCTATAGTTAAAGATATAGAAGATGTAGCTATCCTCTAACTTACGGAGCGCGGTATTGACTTAGGGACAGGGTTTTGAAGTCTTGCTTTGCGGTTTTCGGATGATTTATGCAATAAGTGAATTTTCGAGGATATTTAAGAGCCTGGATTATCTAGGTAGTCATTGTCTGACGAGAGAGGAGAGAGGCTAGAGGAAGAGAGCAGAGAAGAAATAGAATTGAATTGAATGTTCATCCCCTTCGCCTGTTCAGGTCTTAGGTACTTTTGTTGAAGTGACAAGGCTCTTGATTCATCTTCTTGTTACCCTCACCAGCTGGACAGTGCCGTCTCGGCCATGAACTGGAGTACTGACGGTTCATTGACAGCGGGATACGAAACCAACACCACTCTCGTGGCCGGAATTGTCTCAGTAGACCCGGACACACTACGCACTACAAATTCTCGCGAGCTGGGTTCCCCCAGACACCAACTAGGCGCTGGATCTGGTACATATGATCGAGCTCATCCGAGAACGGTACCCTCATCCTTGCCAGTCAATAAGGACACGTTTAATAGTGAAGCGCTACACCAGGAGACGCAAACATATGGCGTCGTGGTGGTGAATAACTTCAATGCGTCCAGCTAATTCTGGCTGAAAAAAATACGGATCTGTTTACTATCAACAGTGATTGGAACGACACGTCGGTTATGCCGGGTGGGCTGGCGCGAATCGCTCGCCGTTATTTCCAACGGCAGCAGTCTGAGCTGCAAGATGAGGTCGGAGGCCAACGTGACTACGAAGACGAACTTAGTGCTCTCGACGGAGACGGGACCGTTGTGTAAGTAAACTCAGGAAACGAAGTTGGCTATTCAGGCGGAGTATGTGTGGTATGTGATTGCGCTGGATAACGACTCGTTAGTCGTCGTGTGGAGGGCGAAGAGGAGATTGTGGGTGGGTTGGGGTGTTAATTGATAATTGGTTGTTGGGGTCTCTGGAGCCGGATGGGAGGTTTAGCTAGTATGGTGGATAAGGAGGGTGGGATGGATGGTTGGTTTGAGTTTGTTCTGGGATTATGAAGTCTTTGTCTTGCGACGAAAAAAGGTTCGCGCACAGTGCTAAGCTGGGACAAACAATGACTTAAGATTTGTGTCTCGGTCATGTGTGACAATTTACAAGCAAATGCTTATCCGATTTGTCAATATCGGCCGAATTCGAGTTTGCTGCTCTTTCTTGATGAATATGGAGCATCAGAGTAACGCCGAACCAACCAACTTCTCTTCAGTAGTATACTGATCTGGTGTTCGAGGAGATTAGGTTAAGGCGTGGTGAAAATATGGAGAGCGGCCACGCCGTCCTTCGGTTTATGATGATGCAGACTATGCCATATATGAAACTGTTGCGGCCAGGGAGCTTACTTTGTTAGTCTTCGGGTGATCAGGGATGCTGCGTTGATGTTGGTTGGACCCAACATCACTGCGCGTAGAAGGAAAGCGGGGTCAGGCCCTGGGTACCTGAATTCAACACAGGAAAATTCGTATTATCTGCTCTGCTGTCCCCTATTGACGTTGCAATGAAGCAGTTCTGAAATTTGTCCTCCAGGATCCCAAGGTGGGCTGCTACGGGAAGCTGCATACAGTCATGTCCATCACGCAAGAGCAGGCGGCACTAGTGCGCCAATACCTAGAGACCAAGACAGTCGGAACCATCAACATATACCTGGTGGGAAAAGAGGATGTAGGCAAGCGCAGCCTATCGAAGCGGGTAACTCGTCCCCAGCCTCAAACCCCGCAAGGCTTCTATTTGCTAACGAGGAAATGGATCATCAGTTATGTTGGGATTGTTACGTAGCCAAATATTACCACACGGACGACTTCCTCTGCGAGAAGTATATCATGATCCAGGGCCACCAGGTCAAGGTCAGCCTCAAAGTAAAGACGGTTGATGCCGAAGGCCACCCTCCCCTAAATTGGCAAGCATGCGCACGTTACCTTGGCGAGTGTCACGCCTGCTTGCTGGTGTACGAAGTCATCAGAAGGGAGACCTTCGAAAGGCTCGACTCGCTTTACGACCAGATCGTGGCCGAGGAAGGCACATCTAGGATACCCTTCTTTGTGGTGGCGCAGAGAACGGACCGATCGAGGCGATATTGGAACGTAACATTGTTGGAGGCGGACCAGTTCAGTGAAGATATCGGTGCCGTGTTTCTATCTTTGTCGGCCAAGACGGGAGAAGGGGCTGGAGAGGACGTGCTGATCGATATAGCTAGTCGTGCGATTCTCAGTAGGGTCCAGCCACCGCCAAGGCCTCGAAATCCGAAGCTAGATATACCGGATTTACGACCTCGGCAGACCACCCGGCAGACCACCCGGCAGCGCGTTGTGCGCACAATGTCTAAGCTGAAGCGTTTGATTCTCCGGAGAAGTAGCCGATCCTCAAACCCCAGAGTTAGGTAGATATTGCTGGATATTCGGCCTAACAAAGGTCAGCCTGCCATCCGGATGTTGAATGGGTATACCACGGGACAAACCACTCGAATATTCTGAGTAGCTGCCGATTGTGAAGTAGGAACTTGAAACCCTGGCACATGTATCTGCTAAGATGTATCAAGATCTAGTCAAAATCTACTTAAGTAAATGCAAACTTGGACCTGCCAGTGACAAACATACAAACGCCACCGGTATGTCTTTTTCATAAATAGCTATCACCACGTTGCGGTCAATATTGTCCTTTGCTACTTACCGTCCGTAAAGGTGTACCAAAGACAGCCAGCTTCTAGATTGTCAGCGACCCCACCGTTATTACTAGAGAAGAAGAGCAGAGTCAGCATCTATAGCCCGAATACGATCACCAGGGTGTTACGACTTACAGTTCTTCAAGCTGCGAATTATCAAATCTCTGCAGGAAGGCCCGTTCGTCCCTAGCGATTGTATAAAATCGTCTTCAGCCACAGTCGTAACACAAACCTTGATCCCCGCGGCAGAGTAGAAGTAGTTGATACTTGCCGAGGCCTACTAATTAGTCCTCCGGGTTGAATTGGCCGAACGCTGCTCTACTCGGGAAACGCACTACTCCGAGTTTGACCTTTGGGTCTATGTGAGCGTGTCGCCACAATAGAGCTGAACATCGTCGTTCCGTGGGCTGTGTGAAACTATTGCCGTTGGGGATCCGTGTAGGAGTCATGCACAGGCCGTGTGCTGGGGACTTCTTGGTCAAAGTCCGTGCCGACATGAAGCCAAGACCAAGACCCCATCCAAGTACTCAATTGGGCAAATTCCTCGTGTTCTATGTTAGTTTGCTTAAATTCAAAAAATAGGAAGAACGGTGAATACAAAATTGTAAAAATATATTGCTGAACAAAGTCTGCGTTGTATACCTCGACGCCGTCCCCATTACTAGCGTCAAAGTAGTAGCGTTGCTCCAAGTCATGGAATTGGATAGAGGGAACCCGTTTGGCCATGAGACGAATACCATTTGATCAGCCGCCTCTTCTCGGCAGGCCAGCTCGGTAGCAGGATTGCGGCATGAGTTGGGGCAGTTTCTTCAAGATGAGTCACGTTGCAGAGTGCCTGATGGAACCTAGATAGAACAGAAAGGCTCAGGGTTACCACTTTGGTTGTATAGTTATTTTAATGGGGGCGTGAATGACTTGCATCGGGAAAGGCTCGAACTTAGTCAATCTGGGCATGAGTCAGGGGTAATTCCCAGAAATAAAGGCCAAACCACTCGTGCTGACAATGGAGTGATGAAGCCACCTGTTGTGCTTTTGGACGAGGCCCCGGTGGACTGAGGCCCAGAGGAGACGAATGTAGGTATCTCACCGGCGGTGTTGGTGGATTTGACCGCTATTGTAGCGACAGTGGTCATTGGCTGTCTATCTGAACATAAATTGTGGTTGTCCCTGGAGGTATGAAGGAAGGAATGGAGCATTTTGATGATATAGAAGACGTGTTTTTTCTTTAAAATGGCGGTAATATGTCAAGAGGAAGAATCGAAATAGGGAACGACACTCCCATTTGTTGCACTAGCCGAATTGTTTACGCCCGTCAATGCACCACAAAATCCGCTGTAGACCAAGAAACTAACGAACAGCACGTTGTTAAGGGACCCTAGTGCTGATAAAAGCCCCATAGTCATGGTTGTGAAGACTAGAAGCATAGAGTAAAGGATTTCTCGAGATAACGAAAGTTAACGAAAGCTAACCCTCGGCGGCTTGGCTTAGAGATATATTAATGCTTATATGTAAGGAAAGAGCCGTTATAGCGGGCCGGTCTCAGCTAACAAGCTGAGTCGGGAGGGATTCGCCCCCGATCCGGTAGAACCCCGGAACCGCCCAGCTTAAGAGGAGAACTCGAGACGCTCGCACCTAGTTTAGATTCTTCAAGAATCAGTCTTGCAATATACGCACCCATACACTGGCCTACTTCTAGCTACCCTTTGCACTACCTGACTATTAATTGTGAGACGTGCGGTATCCTCGTTACATTATAACCCAGAAATGTATCGCCTACAGTAATTCTCATCATGTTTGAGACGTGAAATACATGTTGTCTGGTTCGTAAGACTATTACTGAAGTTATGTAGCTCTATGGCACATTATCTATTACGAGGGGAACTGGCTTTGAGATATGGAATAGAAAAATGCAACTGGTTCCGAAGAGTATTCTCGGTTTAGCTTTTTTCATGGGCTTGGGTTACACAGCCGTTGTAGCTTTGCCAGATGTTGGACCTTCAAGGCTATTACACCAAAAAGTGACAGCTTGTGAGGACATATGGATATGGTCAACTACCTACAATATTGGCTTAAGCAACTCCAACGGCTGTAGTCTGCCACTCAAATCACCTTTGAGTTTCTAAAACATCAAGCTGGCGGCTAATATCGAACCCGGAATTCGTGACAAGCAGCCCCACAGTGTGGCACCGGGATTTGTATTTAGATGTGGAAAACGGGCAAGTATGTTGGTCGTGAAGTGATGGCTATGGTAAGAATGATATTGGACGTCACAAATCGCAGCATGCAAAATTGGCATCCGTGCAAAGCGATTTGAGTTTCGGTCTTAGAAAGTTGGAGATTTATATGAAGGCCAAAAAAGGATGTTTCTTTTTCTTATTCTATGATGATTACTTCTGGTTTTGGGGCGGGGTTTTGTAGCCCTGTACTTGGCCGTACCTTCCCACCTGTTGGGTACTACAAATTCTTATCCATAACTTACTCGCTGATTCTGAAGATAAATTTCTACCATTGACGGAAAGGAAATACTGAGGTGGTGGTAAATTTATTTGATAGATCCAACTCTCTAGGTTTGCGATGGTCTAAGTCGTAAGATACTCTCTGAAATAGGTATCAGTGTTAATGGGAAGTGATATATAAAGAGCACCCGCTGGGCACGACCCAACAGCATTGTAAAGAGTATGCGAGCAGTTGAGCTTGCCAGGGAAGGGACGTGAGGATATTTCAAACACATGATATCACGAGCTCTAAAGTACCGGAAAGACGTCGCTTCAGTAAGACTCTTGTTACTCCAACGAAAGAGCTGCAGATCGCGTCCTTAGAAGAGAAATAGGGAGAAGGAAAAAAATGAAAATTACTTCTGTGAGAGACGCATACCACAGCGTGTTTACGCTTATTTATAACTTATTTCAATTCGTTGCAACCTTACAAGCCCTCTCATTTTTTCAACTGCACGGTCCAATCACAATCCGGCAACGAACGTTATAACGTTACTTACAGTAAATAATACAAAGAGCAACAGGAGAGTTTCATACAGAGTGGCCACAAGACCGCAACGGCAGGAAGTAAGGACAAAATGCCTCTTCAGCATCCAAGTCACTTAAGGACAGACGGGATAGGAGATGCAGTAAGAAAAGAGCATAAAATAAATAAAGCGAAAGGCATTTGAGAAAATATGCAAAAGGTACAAAATATGCAAAAATTAAGGGTCTGGCCGGGGATTGAACCCGGGACCTCGCGCAAGCAAGCTAAGGGTGAACCCTAAGCGCGAATCATACCACTAGACCACCAGACCAATCATATGTTGCTGTTGTTGAAATGAGCCGTTGAAAATGGTATTATGGATCGTTCTTACGTTTCGTAAAATTTGGCGAATGGATACGATCTATTTGGGGCGCTGTGTGGGTTCAATACGAAGAGTAGATTGCGAATTTCATAGATGGGTGGGCGACAATGCGTAAGGAAGGGGCTGACAAGGCTTGTGGCTGTGCATGAAAACCAACAACCAATTTGAACTGTGGTTCAGACCCCGAAATATGTGGGTTTAATTGAGTTTCGCGCGACTTGGTCTATATCTTGGGTAGTGTCTGAGACGCCCACATCTGCCTACAATAGGACTTTGACTGAAACTTAGAATCCATTGATTTCAACCCACAGTGTATGGGTGAGAGTACAAGCTATGAGATTGGGAACGGATTCTGCAGTAACTAATAACAGCTTTTGCTGAAATCGTCTTACGTGTCTATATGCAGGGTAATGCACACATTGCCTCGACTTTGACGGCCTCATGCTCATCCTCACTTCTCCGGTGGGGTCGACTTCATTGGATCATGGCCCAATATTTCAACATCATTACCCCGAAACTGACGTTCGCTAGCAGTAATTCCTAGTAATGGTCACAGCACATGCAATGCCATGTATCCCCCCGCATCCCCCGCTTTCGTTTTCCTGATCCCCCGCAATACCAACCGGTTCTCATTAACGGCAGATGTACTGGGAAAAGGCGCAAATGGGAAAATTCACGTCGGACCTGTTATAGATTCCATGACAGAATAGCATCATGTAGGATCATGTAGCGCTTATAACTTGGCGAGGCACTGGGAAACTTCTGGACCACCTTCTGGCTAATAAAAAGCTGTACGACAGCATGGCATGGTAATGTATGCAGTTGAAGTAGACACCATAAAGGGTAGGTGCGGGGGCCCTAACCGCTAGGGAAGGAGTGTACCCTTCAAAGCTTCCCACTACCATGGAGGGGTTCCTCGGTGGGTGATAGGATACAAGGGAGTTTGGTGAGCTGAACGCTTTAATTCTCATTTTCGGTCCTGTGAATCGCATGAGGCGTCGGGGACAAGAGCGTCGTACTGTACATGCCTTATCCACCGGGGAATAACTGGCTGGCCCAGTTAAACATAATTGAGATCAATAGTGTGTGAGGTCCCAAGATCCATGTTGAGGGGATGTTAATAGGCAAGTCCCGGCAAGACAACCGGTGTGCGGCACCAGTAGTAGCGAAGTATTTTTAAGTACATATAGCCCAGCCCAGCTGAGTTTGTAGATGCTTCTCGTGTATTTCTCCACCACCCGTGGACCATTGCAAGAACCAGAAAGTGACGCTACGATGGTCTCGATTCTGAGCTGTATTGTGATTGGTCTTGCGAGTCAACAAGCTCGCATCGCTCGCGCGCAGGATGTCATCACCTCCGACGACTACTTTTACGGTCAATCTCCGCCAGTGTATCCATCACGTAAGCATCCCTCAGTCCTTCAACCAAGCCATGGAGCGAAGGCTAAGTGACGCTGCTTGGCAGCTAACGGAACGGGATTGGGCAACTGGGCCGATGCCTATATCAAGGCACGAAATTTCGTGTCCCAGCTTACTTTGGAAGAGAAGGTTGGTACGGTATATTTGTTCTCTGATACGAACATGCTTACACAAAGTAGGTGAACCTGACAGGTGGTGTTTCCGAAACTTCCACTAGTTGCTCCGGGAGCATAGCGGCCATACCTCGCCTGAACTTCCCAGGAATGTGTCTGAGTGATGCTGGTAATGGCGTACGCAGTACAGACTTTGTCAGTGGTTGGCCCAGTGGCTTGTCTGTGGGCGCCAGGTGAGGTACAATGATCCAACATAGACAATCGCACACTGACTCGACTGAAAGCTGGAACCGGGATCTTGCGCACGCCCGCGCCGCGGGCATGACGTCTGAATTCCGGCGAAAAGGAGTCAATATTGCTCTTGGTCCTGTCGTGGGGCCCCTCGGCCGGGTCGCGATGGGAGGGCGTAACTGGGAAGGTAAATACCGTCTTGCATCACTCTGGTCGTATTGTTCTGATCTGCAGTAGGATTCTCGAATGACCCATATCTATGCGGAGCTTTGGCATATGAGACTGTCGTAGGGATGCAATCGACAGGTGTAACAGCCAGTGTCAAGGTACGTTCTGCACGCAGAATTCGAAATTATGCAGTACGGACACTGATTTCTTGGAAGCATTATATCGCCAATGAACAAGAAACGAACCGCAACCCTGAGGCTAGTGTAGGGGCAGTTTCTTCCAACGTTGACGACAAAACCATGCACGAGCTATATCTCTGGTACTTGGCCATACCGAAGAGGAAACAACTCTGATCGTGCAACTAACCCCAATAAACAGGCCGTTCCAAGACGCAATACTCGCGGGCGCCGGCAATATCATGTGTTCATATAATCGATTGAATAACTCCCATGGCTGTGCAAACAGTAAATCACTGAACGGCATCTTGAAGACAGAACTCGGATTTCAGGTACGATAAAGAACCCGCCCGATGGATACTAGCAGGACTAATGATGTAGGGTTTCGTCGTGAGTGACTGGGGCGCACAACACGCTGGCGTAGCAACTGCCCAAGCTGGACTAGACATGGTGATGCCTCGTGGTTCTGCATTCTGGGGAAACAACCTGACATTGGCTGTCAAAAATGGGTCGTTGTCCGAAACCAGAGTGGACGACATGACCACAAGGTAAGCTACGAGGAATCCCGAGTTTAGAATCCAGGAGAAAGCTGACGAAAGAAGAATCATTGCGATGTGGTACCAATTTGGCCAAGACGATGCCTTCCCAGAGCCTGGTGTGGGAATGCCATCAGAGCTCAGTAGTCCGCACGAGGTCGTTATCGGCACTAACAGTTCTTACAAGAGAGTTCTGTTCGACGGCGCGGTAGAAGGGCATGTCCTTTTAAAGAATAAAGACAATGCACTTCCACTCAAAACGCCGAGAATAGTCTCTCTGTTTGGCTACTCGGCTAAGGCTCCAGACCGCTACACCACCGACGAAAATATCGGAAATGAAGCACTTGCACCAGAAGACATCTCAATTATGGAGACTAAGTCAAATATCATCTCCCAATACGCATCCAATGGAACCATAATCAGCGGCGGCGGATCAGGCGCCAACCAATTTCCTTACATGAGTTCCCCTTTCGAAGCTCTTAGCCAACGGGCTTACGAAGATGGAAGTTTTCTCTACTGGGACTTTCACAGCTCCAACCCCACAGTCAATGCACAGTCAGATGCATGCATAGTTGATGGAAATGTTTATGCAACCGAAGGGCAGGACCGCCCTGGGCTACACGATGATTTTACAGATGGTTTAATTCTCAATGTCGCTTCTGTGTGCGCGAACACGATTGTCGTGTTCCAGAACGCTGGTGTTCGTCTTGTTGACCAATTCATTGATCATCCTAATGTTACTGCTCTCATCTTCGGTCATGTTCCCGGACAGGTAAGTGCCAAATGTGATGCGTTACAGTCATTGGAAGTGATCATATATTGACACGATGTGACAAAACAGGACAGTGGCCGAGCCCTCATCAGCATCTTATACGGCGACTCTAACCCCTCCGGAAAACTCCCATACTCCGTCCCCAAGAACGAATCTGATTACGCCGGCCTCGACACCCCGGATCAACCCGAAGGAATCTTCGTTAAATTTCCCCAGTCCAACTTCTCGGAAGGCGTCTACATTGACTACCGCGCTCTCGACGCCAAGAACATCACCCCGCGGTACGAGTTCGGATTCGGGTTAAGCTACACCACGTTTTCCTTCTCGGACATCAAAACCACACTTAGTAATAGCAGCACCGCGGCATACCCCACTCAACCTATAGCTGTTGGTGGACAGAAGGACCTATGGGATATACTTGCTACTGTCACCGCTACTGTAACGAACATTGGGGAAATTACGGGCGCCGAGGTTGCGCAATTGTACGTGGGTATTCCCGGTGGTCCCGCACGGCAGCTGAGGGGGTTCGAAAAAGCGACGATACAGCCCGGTGCAAGTGTTACAGTTAGTTTTAGCCTCACTCGCCGGGACTTGAGCACGTGGGATGTTGTTGCGCAGAAATGGTTGCTGCAGCGGGGGACATACGAGATTCACGTTGGTTCGAGTAGCAGGAATCTGCCCCTGACCACGACTTTACAACTATAATTGTCACGACGTCTCGGCAAGGGGAAAAGACATGAATCAATCAATAAGGTGTCTTAATTGATGAAAATCTTGCGCAGTCCATTTTGGTTGCGGTAAAATTTGCCTTCACCCTACTACGCTAGCTAATCATAAAAGGTTGACATTGATAGTTAGTGAAGTAAGAGAATATAGCATATGATTAACAATAATTATACTTGTTTGATTACTTATTTCTTGAACTCTCTATTACTTTATATTCTCCATAAAATAAGTAATCCTCCTATTTTCGGGAGAAATCCTTCATTATGCTATATTATGGGTCCCGGATATTTGAATTGCCAATTGAGCTTCCATTCTGTACCAAAACACACCCGGTTCGCATGGGTGTCATTAGCTTCAAAATTGATATACTGAATCGATTATCCGCATACGGTTCCGCCTAGCGCGGCTCAGAGTTATAAGAGCCCATAGAGCTGCAGCCAGCTACAAGACCATCCATATTTCCGGCGGTTCTATATTGGGGGTTTCCAGCATCCCGACTTTTGGCGACTGGCTACCACAAGGTTAACCGCTCCAGTATTGACAGATATTTTTTAGTCAGTGAATACTAGAATATTCTGAACAATTCGGCCATCCCGAAAGAACGACGAAGGAAATTGATAGGCACAAAGTATCGAGATTGAGAGATTGAGAGACAGGAAGCTGATAGTCAGTTTCAAGAGGAATAAGAGGGACTGATGTTCTCGAGGGAAGCTGAATTTGACAGCAGTGATGCCACCATGTTGAGGACATCAGCACCACTGCAAGAACCTCTTAATAACGAGGATGCAGAGGACTAAGATGGAACAGAGGGACCAAATTTTTGGAGCAAAACGCCCGCCAAAGCTCAGAATCTGTTACCAAAAAAAAACACCAGCAAGATGACGTATCGAGGAAGGAGAGTATACTTGTGACACGTTTCTTGTTGGATTATACTGCCTTTGCTGAACTCTCTTGTCTTCGCAGTCTGACATATTTCATCTCTCGCACTCTCGCAGTGAACGAAACCCCATTTAAACGATCATGATCCCTGCATGACTCCCTCTTCACCCAGGCGTCCCATGAAAACAACATCTCGTCTGGAGATTAGCCACTTCCCACTCGCACCCGGCACTCCAGGATTTCCATCGACCACGACCAAGTCATCCACGTATTTTCCCCAAGCCGTCACCTCCTTCCCTTGCCACTTTCCCTTACCGAAGTGGATGCCCGTGAAATACGTAGTAGCCTTGGCACTCTTTCCCTCTTCCGCAATCTCAAGCATTTGAGTAGTCAGAGCGTGCTGCGATGTTATAGGACTCAATCTTTTATTTGTCGTCAGCGCATTGCAACCTGAACAGAGTGTACGGCAAGGAATAATCCGACCTCCTCTTGATGGCATCAACCAAGGTCTGCACCCCTTTCATTGGGTCTCGGAACGGGTAGGAGGCGTAGACATCTGTAGTGAAAATCTCTTTAAGCAGATCCCAATCCTGCGTATCTAGTGCGATGCAGTAGCGAGAAATTGTGTTCTGGATGGCGATATAGTCTAGGGGGTTTGCAGGCGCCATTTGGCTAGGAGATGCGCAGTGTTTCTAAGATCAGTATGTTGAAGAATTGAAGACAGCAGATGAGCAGGGCTTGTCAGATGGAGGCGGCGGTGACTATTTAAACGCAGTCCTTAGTGTTAATAGTGAGGCAACATCCGACGGACGTCCGTAGCTGCAGTTCGACTTTGACTTTTTGATTTAACTACTTATTCAACATGTTTCACGATATGTTCAGTGAAGTTCTGAGTAACTCTGGAGCTCAAATGTTTCGACTAAATCAATTATTTTCAAGGGAGGTGTCGTCGCTTTCCACTGGTATCACCTATTCCCGCCACTAGACCTCTATCTTAGTGCCCGGGCTGCTAAGTTTGAAGAACGGCTACAGCTTAGCGGGAAGAGAAATCTGCTTCGCAGCGCGAGCGCTAAAGCGTCACATATACTCCGGCAGGATAGGCTGGCGAAGAGGAAGCAGGCGTCGTAGCTACTCCGACCGGCAGGGTACACTATGGAGAAAGAGGCCCGGGGCTCCGAGTGGATGAGTGAGGAAAAGGAGGTCCCGGCTGCCCTCCTCGGCCACTGGAGGAAGAGATGGTTCACCGGAGCAGAGCATCACGATCGCCAGCGACGCGCTATCGCTGAGGAACCGGAGGGCCCTTCGATGCAGATACCGAAAGGGGGCAAGTATTTCGGCCTGAACCGACTGGAGGCGTCTACGCTGTGCCAGATCAGGACGGAAAAAAAAGGACTAGCAGCCTTCTTATTCAAGACAGGGGCTTTTGGCGTGTATGTTGGAAGGACCGAGGGAACGATTACGGGCCGCTATCGCACCACGGCCACTATACTCTCGCAGAGACCTCACAACGGCAACAGGAGAACCAGTAGTTAGTAGGACTATTGTAAGGTGGCTGCTAGGGACGGGTCGGACAGCTTCAAGGCCCAGATAGCATCGATCTTCTCAGGGGGGACTTTGTTGGTAGGTTGAGAACCAACGTAGTATGGTAGTGAACGCAACGCAGTCGCCAATAGGGCGAACCGACGACGCAGCGTATGTATTTACTCCAGCCATTAGGGCACGGTTTGACATACGGGAGTACTAGTAGAGGTACCGGGGGCTTCGAGCCTACGGCGTATTTAATAATAAAATAAAAAAAAATATTAAATACGCCGTAGGTGTTAACCCTCGGTACCTCTACAAGTACTCCCTTAAGGGGCTATAGATGATATAGCGGGCCCTTAAGCCGCGTCGGGCGGTTATACAGGTAAACTTGTAGCCAAATGACTACTAAACCTCCTGTCCCTCCCTAAGTCTGTGCTACAACCCCTGCCTGAACTACCGATAAGTGTGGTAATGTGGCACTTAAATTCGTCCTCAGGGGTGGGATGCTGCTGATGTGCAGAAGATGCTCGACTATTTTTTTTGTCGCGACAAGTCGTAGTATCTGCTAATTGGGGTTCTCGTCGAGCGTATACATCTCAACCATACGCTCAAGTGGATAGACCGTAACGTGGTCTAGACGCTCGCAAGAATCGCGGCGAGAGGGGGTCCGATAAGGGGTCGGATTAACGATTCGAATTCTGGACCGGCTGTCGAGTTATATTCCGCCGACGTAGTGCTTGACGGTCGACTGGCTAGGATGCTCGTAATCCTAAACTGCACCAATCTCCCTATTATCGCTAGGTAGGCGAAGTCAACAAGGTGGGCAGCGCGCCGTAAGGGTTGACTAAACCCCCTTGTGTGTCAGCTGCGGGATTCGAACCCGCGACTCGTCACCGACCCAAGTGGGCGAGGCTCAAATCGGGACTTATCTACCAGCGAAGTGACCAACTACACCAGCCGACATAATAAAATAATATTTTCAAGATATTTCATGGCTCGGTACTTGAAGCCACCTCCTTCGAGGCATCCAAATTGTCTTTTAACCGTTTAATATCTTGAGTCTTAGCAAGTCAATGCTTCCCCAATTGCAATTGCAAAATCGTCCCCTAAAAAGCTCCAGCGACCATCTCCCCTCTAACCACTTCAAAAACAGGATCTACCGCCTTCGCCGGACCCCCTTCTGCGCACCATTCGCATCGCGGAAACGCTGAAACGCTGCAACGCATTCCAAAACGACCCTATCCTCAACACCTCACACAGACCCTTTCTTTATGCACCAATGGCCCAAGAAAATTTGCGCGGGAAGCTGCCGACTCGACGATGAGAACTGAGAAGCCAAACTTGGCGACCTCGCGCGCCATGGACTGACTAAGACCCTCGAGCGCGAACTTTCTTGTTGTATAAAAGCCGCTTTCGGGACTCCGTCTTGGCCTTCGATATTGCTGACGTTGACGATGGTGCCAGATTTCCAAGAGCGCATGCCAGGAATCACGGCATGCATCGCGTATAGGGGGCCGTGGAAGTTGGAGATTTATGCGGAGGCCAAAAAGAGATGTTTTGTTTTTTGTCTGATGGCTACTTCTGGCTTGATGCGAAGTTTTGTAGGCCTTGACCCTGCACTTGGCCGTAACTTCCCATCTGTTGGTTTGTAGATGGGTTGTGACTTCTTTATCGCTTTTCAACTGGAAAGTAAGTCAGAAATTGGAGTTCAAGGTGCAAGTGAACCTAAGTAAATTGGGAGGTTAGGCAAAGAACGTAATAGCCTGCATTTTCCACTAAAATGTCCATCTTGCCGTATATGGCCTTTGCGGTCTTGATATTTTCCTACATTCTGGGCTTGGACTTAGTCATGTCCATCTGGATGACCTTGCCATACAGTTTCTCAATATGCTTTACGACCTCGGCTGCTCGCGTCTTGTTACGCACGGCGCCAATGACCTGCCTTCAGAGCAAGGGTCGGACCAACCTCACCAACCTCACCATCCCCACTTGGTTGGCCGGTGGTCAAATTAGTAAGTAAAACGCTGGTGATGTTAATCAACCAGTGATCCTGGTGAGGTCATGTGAGGTTATTAACTTTTTGGTTGGATTTACTGCTAAGAAATGAAGGTATCACCAATCTCGTCGGCGCCCTAATATTTATACCTCTTAAATAGATCATGGAGGATTGTGATGTTGATTGAGCTAAGTTAACCTCCGTCAGGTGTAACGGTAGAATGTTACCTATCTAACTAGTGTACATTGTTACGGAGTCACTAGGGCTCCGCCAGTGGACTGTGTGCCACTAGTCCTCTGTTAATAGATAGTCTACATCTTTTTAGATACTACTAGCGTTAAAGTTAGCCGGCTAGGTTCTCAAATATCAACAAGACGTTCACACATCTATCGACGCTTATTATCTTTCTGCATATCGAGGCTATAGGCTCACGCCCACAATAAAACGGCCTTAATTGTAACGGGGATACTGCAGTCTCACTATAGTAGTCAGTTAGTGCAAAGACCGGCTGGTGGTGCGCCAATATTATGGATGCGCATATTGCAAGACTGATTCTTCAGAAATCCAAGTTAAGTGGGAGCGTCCGAGATCTCCCCTTTGGCTGTGGCGTACTCGGAGTTCTACCGGATCGGGGGCGAAACCCTCCCGAGTCAGCTTGCCAGCTGAAGCCAGCCCGCCATTACGACTCTTCCCTCCAACTATACCCCCTCCAAGGTCGGCTGTCCTCGGTCAACGTTCTTCTTGGAGTCGCTAGGTTACCGGCCCCTTCATGCCGCGCCTCCCTCGTTGGAGCCTCTAGCCCGCCTAACTCCTTTTCGGATTGCTCTTTCCTCTGCTAGATAGGCTAGTAAATAGCGAATGTAGGGCCGGTAGGTAGTGAATGTAGGACTGGTAGGTAGTGCATGTTTCCAAGGGGGCCCGAGCTTCTCTTAAATATCGCCTGCGTTTCTTCCAGACTCCCTTTCTTTCCATTCTAGCCACCCATCGTCTTCCAGCTTCCCATTTCACACCAACCAAACCCAACCATTCCCACGATATCCAGCAGCGCCGTTCCCGTTTCGGGTGGGGAAGGGGGGAGGGGAACGCAGCCTTCCGCTTGGCCAGGTACGACAGCCAGCAGATCCCTGAGATTTTTTGCATTGGCCGTTATGCTTCCTGGGCCAACTCCTTGTCCAAATTGGACATCAACTCCGTGGAAGCGGTCGCTCTGCCGGCCTTTCCCTGTCGATACGACTCCGCGGCCAGCGGCAAATGTACTAAGTGTACCAAAGGCAAGGCAAGTCTGATTATGCCCTGTAAGTCTAAACCCTGGCCCTTCTTGGTGCAAACGTATCGCTAATTAACCACCTGCTTCTCCAGCTGGCATGTGGGGCGATGCCAAGGACCTGGCGGCCATGCTGGCGGACGAGGGTGGCGACAGTGGTGTCGAGGACGTCTATGCTCATACCCGGGCGACCCACATCGCAGTAGTTGTGGCCTGCTATCGCCTGGTAGAGGCCTTCCTCACCGGCGAGAAGTCCCTTCGCAGCCACTTCGGCCAGGTGGGCTCCCAGAAGGATCGCACCGTAAGTTCCTCCTGACGGAGGCAAAGCTAGGGAAACAATGAAAAACGTACTCTTCAGCCTCAGGGAGTACCGGAATGGCTTCGGCCGAGGCCTGGCGAGATGGCGACACTACCAGAGTCGGCGTTGGAGGGTAATTTAACTCTCTATTAGGGCAGATATTTTCAAGCTAACAAGTTGTACATGAGAGACCCCCAGTAAGTCTCAAGATACACATAACCAATAGCGAGAAAACTACGCAACCCATCATTCTCATGGAAATGACCACTTAACGAAAGTGTTATCTAATGCTGGTTCCACGGATAACTGATACGTGACCCCATGGGGGGTTACCCTATAGCTATAGATAAGATAGATAAGAGCTATAAAAGAGCTCTGCCAGGCCAGAATAGCTGACCTGGCATCCTTTCCCAATACAACAATTCACACCCCATATGCACTCGCATCAATAACTATGTCATGATGGATGAAAAAGACTGCGATATTGCACACACAAGAGCTTATCTCAACGAATATGTTCTTGAAAATGAACCTGTCACGATTAGCAGAATTCAGATTCCTGCAATCGCAAAATTTCGAGGAATGGAGGGTCATTGGTTGCGGGTCATTGGTCAGGGAAGACCTTCAAACGCTTACCAGCAAGCTCTATCCAAATTGGCTGCACGATGCGCTAGAGTGAAATCAGTTGTATGGCGGTGGCTGGTTTGTACTTAATTGGACAATACGGCATTCTGGGTCACATTGCGAAGATATGGACGACCATCATGCAGTAGAGCACCAGTTGGATGTATGGGATGATGGCAAACGCGAATGCGAACCTGATCTCAAATTTTCCCGCTTTTTACTGCAATGTCACACTCAGAATATTATATTCCATGGGGCTGTTCCGATTTGATCTTGCATGCGGGAGATCGGGGTCTCATACTGCATATATATAAGGTTAACGTAGTCCACGGTCCAATTGCACACTTCGGCAGATTTTCGTACGCTACCACTTTGACCTGCGGTTTTTCACTACATAACTATGGTTGGTTCTTGGAATGAAAGTGATATGATTCTAGCATTACATGCGCTTTAATCTGATCCAAAATTAAGTGTACGTCGCGCTGGTCAGATCTATAACGTACCTTTTAGAACCCTTGCGTATCGACGCGACGGTAAAACCGCTCGAGCGATTATGCGATCGCCAACGCAAAAGTTGACTCCTTCCGAAGAAGAGGCAATCGTACGACATATAACCGATCTAGATTCGCGAGCATTTCCTCCCCGATTGAGTGGTGTTGAAGATATGGCCAACCGATTACTTCGAAGTCGCGACGCGGGACGCGTCGGCGTCAACTGGGCCTCGAGCTTCGTAAGACGACAACCAGACCTCCGGACGCGTTTAAATCGAAGGATCGACTATCAGAGAGTCCTCTGCGAAGACCCCGATGCGTATCGCGCGTGGTTTGACCTGGTACGGAATACAATTGCGAAATACGCGATCCAGGAGGAGGATATTTACAACTTCGACGAGACCGGTTTTGTGATGGGCCAAATCTCGTCCGAAATGGTCGTGACGACTTCTGATCGGCGCGGAAGGCCTAGAGCAGCCAAGAAAGGAAATCGGGAATGGGTTACAGTTATTCAAGGCGTTGGGTCGTCCGGTTATGCCCTCCCTCCGTACATCATTTTCGCTGGCAAAACCCACCTCTCGTCATGGTACGAAAACAGCCCATTACCGCCTGATTGGGTTATCGCAGTTACTAAAAATGGCTGGACTACGAACGAGAGAGGCGAAGATTGGATAAAACACTTCGATCATCACACCAAGTGTCGTACGAAAGGTACTCATCGCCTATTGATCCTCGACGGTCACGAAAGCCATCACTCGACCGATTTCGAGGTATATTGCAAAGCTAACAATATCGTCACGCTTTGTATGCCTCCTCATTCGTCGCATAAGCTCCAGCCTCTTGATATTGGTTGTTTTCGCGGGTTAAAAAGAGCGTACGGAAAAGAAATCGAAGATCTCATGCGAGCACATATAAGTCATATCTCGAAAGAAGACTTTTTACCGGCGTTTTTAAACGCGTACAACGCAACTTTCACGGTTTCAAATATCCAAGGAGGTTTCCCAGGGGTAGGAATAGTTCCGTACGATGCAGATTATCTCATATCACAGCTCGATGTGAAATTACATACGCCAACACCTCCGGGTAGCTCGGCTGGTCTCCCCGTCCCTTAGGAATCAAAGACTCCGAACAACCCAACAGAAGCCCAATCACAAACCGATTATGTGAAAAATAGGATTGTACGACATCAAAATAGCTCACCAACGTCAATTTTTGCTGGAATAGATCAGATTGCGCGAGGTACAACGAAGGTTATGCATCGGCTTGCCCTTTTAGAAGGCGAGGTCGAATGACTTCGAAAGGCAAATGAGACCTTAAGTCGACGTCGCCGTGCGAAGAAAAAACAGCTACAGAGTGGAGGGTCACTTCGTATACAAGCTGGACAGGACCTACAGTCTCAACGAGAGGTTGATGGGCAGTTACATGACGAATTTCGTCAAATTGGTGGTCGTACGAGGCGGCGAATTGCACGTGTACGGCGCTGTAGAATCTGCGGCGAGCCCGGACATAATGCGCGCACTTGTGGAAATGATGTAGAGACTGTCACGACCTGGGTTGCATCGCATTGGTAGAGACCTCGATTAGGTGCTATCGACGAAGATTCTACTCTAAGGAGCGAAGGAAAGAAGACCATAAACTTAGGTTTGAGGGAGCACGACTAAGTCGTCCACGCTTGGCGGGGCTCCTGCAGGGGTTATGATTGGCTTCCCATCTGGCACTGCCATGGCAGGTGTTTCAGCTGTACGTCACCTGGTTGTAGTGAGTCTGCGAGGGTTGACCTTCACAGAGACGTCTGAAGATAACGATTCTGAGTAGTTTCAATTGATGATAGGCGTTGTGGTTGAATTAACTTATACATTGTCGTATAATGTTAGGCAACCTTGGTGGGCTTTGCCAAGACCACCAAGGTTACCACGTGACTTAGCCCTTCGGGACTAAGTCCAACCTTCGTGCTCCATAGGACTAGATAGAATGTCATGCTTTTACAACCTCACAAATCTTTGACCACCTTTGCGTGTAACAACTCCGAAGAAACCTGAGTTATATAGAAGCGACCGAGCTCTTCTCTTTATATCAAGGCGCCTCCTGTCGAATATCACGTGTGTCCAATCGAGTAGTCAGAAGTGCGTAAGATTGTATATGAATGAGGTGTGTTGTTCCCTATGTTCTGTTCTCGCGAACTCCCGTTGCTGTCAGATAGGGCACCTGGTTCCTAGGTTCAGAAATAATATGGCACTAGAGAAGACTAGTGTCACTTAAAGTTCAGACGGCGAAAGGAACCCTTTTTCCCAAAAGTAACACCAAAGTTACTGTCCACTTAGGGGTCAGACACCTGAACAATGTACTTCCGACATGTCCTAAAGAATCTATAAAAGGCAGAGCAACGGGAGTTCGCGAGAACAGAACACAGAGAACAAACACCTCATTCATATACAATCTTACGCACTTCTGACTACTCGATTGGACACACGTGATATTCGACATTGCTCTGTCTTTTATAGATTCTTTAGAACATGTCGGAGGTACATTGTTCAGGTGTCTGACCCTAAGTGGACAGCAACTTTGGTGTTACTTTTGGGAAAGGGGTTCCTTTCGCCTTCTGAACTTTAAGTGACACTAGTCTTCTCTAGTGCCATATTATTTCTGAACCTAGAAACCAGGTGCCCTATCTGACACCTCCAGAGTTTTACTAGATTAGAGGCGGCTAAACCCCTACGAGATTAGTTAAGAGCTAAGGCTAGACTATTATAATAGCATAGCTCTACCTTATGTATATAAATAACGACATACTCGTAGTCTTGAATCTATAATCTGATAAAATAATTCCTAACATTAATACGAAAGGATAGAAGAGAGCTCGTGCATGCTACCTTTATAATACTCTACATAATAAAAAAAGGAAGAAATAGTAACGTGAATGTACACCGAGCTGGCCACTTTCATGCGCCAACGCGACCGGCCAACTTAATCTTTGATTTTCTTAATAACCAATTATTACAAAGTCATACAACGAAGCAGACTTAATGCTAGCCCTTCAAGCTCTCAAAAATGACCAAAAACTTAGTCTCCGATAAGCGGCAAAAACGTACCAAGTCCCCCGAAGCACCCTCCAAACGTGTAAAAATGGCGTATCTTTCCGACGCGGTATTTTACCTAATTCACGAACTATGACAGAATTAGAAGAGAAGGTTATTATCAAGCATATACCGGGCTTAGATGCACGAGCGTTTCCGCCCCGGATTGCTGATATGGAAGCAATGGCAAATTCTATCCGCGCGACACGTAACGCAGGGCCTATTGGAACGCGCTAGGCCTCGAGGTTCGTCGCACGTCGCAAAGAGTTGAAAACACGTTAGAACCGTCCTTACGATTACCAAAGGGCCCAATGCGAAGATTCAAAGCTTATTGCAGATTGGTTTCGGCTTATTGCGAATGTTATCGCGAAATACGGTATCCAAGAGTCGGATATCTACAACTTCGACGAGACTGGGTTTATGATAGGCAAGATCTCAACCAATATAGTAGTTACGAGCTCCGAACGACGTGCCAGGCCGAAATCAATACAGCAAGGTAACCGGGAATGGGTTGCCGTAATCCAAGCGGTCCAGTCTACCGGTTGGGCGCTGCCGCCGTTCATCGTTGTTGCGGGCCGATACCACCTCTCTTCTTGGTACGAAGACGACAACATTCCGAAAGATTGGAGAATTAGACCTAGTCCAAAAGGATGGACGACTAATGAGATCGGTATGGAATTTATTAAACACTTCGATAATTGTACGAAAGATGGAAAGTCCGGGATATATCGATTGTTAGTGTTGGACGGTCACGAGAGCCACGTTTCCGGCGATTTCGAGCTATATTGCAAAGAACACAAAATTGTAACTTTGTGTATGCCTCCGCACTCATCTCACATCCTCCAGCCACTTGACGTGGCCTGTTTCAGTCCATTAAAGCGGGTGTACGGCCAGATGGTAGAGAAATTGATACGCCGGTCACTAACACATCGCGAAGGAGGACTTCGTTCCTATCTTCAAAGAC